AGAGAAAGGGAGAGTTCACAGAACATTACAAGATGAGTCACCATAAGCTTTGCAACTTGGTTTATTGTAAAGTAATATTTTAAGCATGCTACTTACAGCTCAGCAGTTTGTTATATGAGGAGAAGGTAGGGGAAGAAGAATAAAATAAAACACTATGAGAACTCACAGGGTCAAGGTACCCTTACTACCTCTCTTAACAAAAATAGTGAGGGACTTAGAAAAATACAAGGAAAATCCAGAACGACTAGACCTCTCCTCCTGCAGTAACTACGATGAGACTATTGATCAGGGACTAGTGCGGACCTAAATAAAGAGTAACCAGTACCCAGGATGACTCATACAAATGTGCTTTGTGAACAAAGAGCCTCACTTGTATGAGCTTCCCTGGAAAAATGGACCTGCTTTCTTCCTGGGTCTCTATTTACTGAACAAAAAAAACAAAAAAATGGTTCTTAAATAAATTTAAAATTCAATATTTTTATTGAATATGCCTGACTCTTAGATATAGAAGAACATCATTTTTCACAACCAAGGAACCACATTTATTTGAGGTTTTATTTAGGCCAGTGATTTTTAAAACTATAATTTCTAATTTAAGTTAAATTTTAAACAAAACTAAAAAGAAAATTAAAAAATCCTTATATTTTCACAGCAAAAATGAAGTAAAGATTCAGCTTCAGGATGACAAAATTACCAAGCAATAAGACAATTTAAAGACACTGGACAGTCAAAAGAATCGAGTAAGTTATTCATCTTATTTATCCATGTCCTCTGGTTATAATTTGCTTCTAAACTCTGATGAAGAGAATTATATACAGTTTTAAAAACACATTCATTTCCTGGCAGAAAGGCAAGGATATTCTCATGGATGCTAAACTCACTGGAAGTGGTGGGTATACATTCAAGAAATACACTATAATTATTTAAAAATTCAATATAATAATATAAGCATACATATTTCTTTACATGAGTGTGTACAAATATATATATGTAAAATAAATACTTTAATTGTACTATATCATTATGAAAAAATAAGTATGAACATGTTATTTTACTTTTAGTTATAAACAATGCATCTACTTCTAAAACTTCAAACAACTGTTAAAGAAACTAAATAACATTTAAGGCATGATTGAGTAGTTTAGCTAATAAAGACCTTATTTCTTTATAAATACCAAGTAAAATTAGAAAAAAATACTCAAAAAACTCATTTCTGCATGAATTTTTCACATTTCTTATAACATGATATGAACAAACACTTTATAAATCACATTAACTATATACACTCCCATTACAGAAAAGATGCTAAACTTACCAGGGGCATCCGTCCTCCTACATGCTCCATCCCAAAACTCTATGAGGCATTTCTAAATTTCATTCTTTGAGTGAATAAGATAAACTATAAGTCTTATAACAAAAACCTTTGATAAGAATACTTAATAACAACAGCAAATGTTTATTGAGCACATATTACTTGGAAGACATTCTAAGCAGTTTACATACAAACTCATCTAATCCTCACTGTGGCCATACTGACACAGGTGCTATTTCCCCATTTTATAGATGAGGAATCTGAAGCACAACCATGAAAAGTAACTTGTCTAAAATTACACAGCTACTGGTACTAGTCCTTGCATGTCCCCTATCTCCCTCATAACTTATCACTCTTATAGATACCCCAAGCCACCAAGCTAAATAAGCAGTATTAGTGGAAAAGAACACCAAGTCTCCTATAACCTTCAAACTGCCACCATCTTCAGTTAGGCTGGATCATACTCTAGTTTTCAGAAACTAGGAATAAAAAATTGACCAAGATAGCCTACATTAAAACATTTCCAGGAGCAAGAAAAATGTTCTTAGAAAAAGTAATACATTCATACGAAGTTATTGACCCAGAAAATGAAATAATAAAAACTGGGAAAGGAGAAGGAATTATAATTTATTTAATTCCCTCTGTACCTCCCAAGGGAGAGGAAAATAAGAGGAATTTTTTTCTCTTTTAAATCAAACGCATAAATATTTTGCATGTATTTGCAAAACTAAATTAATATGTAGTAAATTGACTATGATGCAGAAGAAATTCCTAAAATCAATTATTTTCTTTAGGTAAGCATCTTTTAGGTATTAAAAAAAGAACGAACGAACGATTGGGTGACCAAGGCCTCATTCAAAACTACATTTATTTTTTTAAGTTCCCACTATGATCAAAAGTTTAATTTATAATTCACCATTGAAGGTGATGTGAGAAACAGTAATTAAGTGGGTGATTGATACAAGTGAGTGTGTGACTCATTGTCTGCAAAGGAAAATGATTTTGCGGAAAAGGCTGAGGAAGAAAAAAGCAAATAATGGATTCTGCAAGAAATGCAGACCTTTCCTGTCCAAGGACTGTCAACAGTTCTTTATTACTTGAAGATTAAGGGAACAGTGAATAAAGCTATCTGCCAGACAACAGAAAAGCTAAGGAGTAACACTGTGTCTAAGTGTACCTTACATTAAAGTTTTCAGAAGTACTTCATAAAACTAAACTTTCTATACAAAGTTACTAGAAAACCCAACTCAGACCAGAACAATGGAAATGTCAAAATAAAGCAACATAACATTTGTCAGGAACCTAAACAGAATGAAACAGCAAGGTAGGTCAAGTTGTAGACGGTCTAATTTTATTCTACTTTGTCTTAGGAAAAAACACAGATCCAATACTGATTTAGCAGACTTAGTGGCATTTGTTTTCATTTGGTTGCTTTTCTACATCATGGGTCAGCACAAAATAAATATTTTTTACTACTAGGTTTCACCAAATTTATGAAATGAGCTTTGGTTTCTCATTCCAGAGGTCAAATACAAGCCATTGAGTTGAGTTTTACTTTTTTACTAACTGCCCCTCCCTTCTTATATATATCTCAAATATATTATATATATTTATACTTTTAAAAGCCATGTTTAGGTAAGAATATTAATTGTTATCCTTGCATTATCAATCTTTAAAGACAGTGAAAAGAATCTCATTTTGATGAAGTCATATTTAACAGAAAGTTTTATCCAACTTAACTTTTTAATTTACACTTTCATGTATGTTGTAGAGTCCCTACTATGTGACAGCATTGATTTAGGTGTTTAATACATATAATTTCATTTAAGAATACTAGGTTTATTTTGTTACATACTGCCTGAAGATAAGGAAAACAGGGTATTTTTATGATAGAGCAACCTAAGTCATATCACTGATAGCTTCTATATGAGCAACACCCAGCCATTCTAGCATATTTTATGCATATAGCTCAAAACTTAGTTCATGAAAACTGAGTGATCTAACTTGAAGAAGTCTCAAAAAAAAAAATTAAGAGCTGTAGTGTGTAGGTGCACACATGTGTATTAGACAACAGAGTCAAACCGGGGCAGTCCAATTACAGAATCTTTGCTCCTAATCACTAAGTCATTATATGCTAGAAAAGGTATGACTTTAAAAATGAAAATGATTTAGGTAATAACAGTAGTTTCTAGGATAGGAGATCATATTTCTGAAGTCAGCAAGGTGAAAACTATCAGCTTTAATTATAAATACACATTTAAAGAAAATTTACTATAATAAAGGCTTTTTTTCCTTTTGTAAATGTGGTGAATTTTCACAAAGTTTCAACTTTCTGTTTTTGGCTCTCATATCACCTAACATTTTTGTAATCTCTTTATAGATATTAAAACATTTTCATATCTCAGATTTTATATAATGCAGCCAGCAACATTATAAATACTGCAGGTGTGATGATTTAATATTATGTGTAAACTTGGTGGCCACAGTGCCCAGATAGTGAAACATTATTCTAGATGTTTCTGTGAAATTTTTTTTTAAAAATAAGATTAACATTTAAATTCTTGGGTTGGGTAAAGCAGATTACCCTCCATAATGTGGGTGGGCCTTCTCTAATCAAATGAAAAGCCAATAGAACAAAGACTGACCTCCTGGAACAAAAAGGAATTCTGCCAGCAAGCTGCCTTTGGACTCACACTGCAACTCTTACCTGGATCTCCAGCCTGCCAGCCTACTGTGCAGATTTTGGACTTATTAATCCTCTATAATCATGTGAATCAATTCCTTAAAAATAAGTATCTCTTTCCCTCTCTCTCTGCCCCTCCCTCTCCACACACACACACACACACACACACACACACACACACTCTCTCTCTCTCTCTCTCTCTCTCTCTCTCTCTCTAAGAAAACAGAGAAGAATTCAGATCTTCACTTCTGTCTCCAGTGATTCCTGAAAAGATACTAAAATTCTCAAAAAGATAAACTAGAATTCAGTTTCCATACCCTACCACTTAGCCAGTCTACTGTTCTTTTTCTTTTAAAACAGTTATCTGACAAAACTAATCAGCTCTGGAAAACAGTTTGGCAGATTCTCAAAAAGTTAAGCATAGAGTTACCTACCATCTATTTCACTCCTAGATATATACTCAAGAAAACTGAAAACACTGTCCACACAAAAATTTGTACGTGAATGTTCATAGCAGCATTGTTCACAGTAGCCAAAACAATGGAAACATAAATGTCATCAACTGAAGAACAGATTTTTTTAAAAGTGGCATATCCATACAACAAAATGATTCAGGGATAAAATGAAATAAATTAGAGATACATGCTACAAAATGGATGAACCTTGAAAAACATGCTAAGTAAAAGAAGGTAGATGCAAAAGGCCATATATTGTGTAAATCCATTTATATAAAATGTTCATATTAGGCAAATCCATAAAGTCAAAAAATAGATTAGTGGTTGCCAGGAACAAAAAGAAGGGAGACAATAGAGAGTGAATGCTAATGGGTATGGGGTTTTCTGATAGAGTGATGAAAATGTTCCTCAATTAGGCAGTGGTAAGGACTGAAAAATCTTGTGATTATACTAAAATCCACTGAGTCATACACTTTAAAATTGTGACTATTAAGATAAGTAAGTTATATCTCAATTTAAGCGATGAAAAATAAAAAACAAATCAACTTACCTGCCCTTTTTGTGGTGCCAAACAACGAACAACTTCATCCACCATTACTGGAGTATGCAATTTAGTCATAGCTTCAGAATCTCTGTCTTGAGATGGGTGAAACTCTCGAGCTCCAGTTTGATCTGTTAGCTCCTGGGCTTCATAGTCATCATATCTTTCTGCTGTAGCATGTATCTTTTTTGGCCAGACACCTAAATTAAATATGCCAGCTTCCAACCAGCATGAAAGAAATTCTTTATAGGTTCTACAAAAGTATGGGGATCGAAGCATTCTGTAGGTCAACAAATCTAGAAAAAAAATTTAAATAGCATGATTGTTGGATTTTTAAAAAGAATGTTATAATAGTTAGGGGAAAGCAAATTAATAAGTAATATTTAACACAAAAAAATGTAAGTCTCATCATCACAAACCAGTGAAGGTGACTAATCTCCTTATGCAAGGCAAGGAATTCAAAACAACCCAAGAAACAATTTGAAAATGTAATTTTTAATATGACCTAATTAGCTCAAAGACCTTTAATGTTTTAACCATCAAAAATGTGAAAACTGATTATTTAATTGTCATTTCTCTGAAATATACTTTTTTGAATTTTAATACAGTCTAAAGAATGGGTTTAATGCATTTGAACTGTTTATTTGAGAAAGATATCTGGATGACTGAAGGGATTATAAATATCCTACGTTAGGTGTAGGTGGTCTTTCAAGATCTTCTATTTGTTTTTCTCATAATACCAAATCTTCACCTTCAATTTAACTTTGAGAAAGTGTCCCTGGAAAAAGACTATGTGTGTACACCCAAAAATAAAAGGAGGTGCTCAGTGTCCCTGTAAGGTAAAAATCTTACAAACTTGACATGAATAATCTCTGAGATCATTTTTACCATGACCTATTTCAGGATGTATTTTTCAATCTAAACTAAAACTTTATAAACTCTCCGCTGAGCACACTTTGTCATTTCATACCCACCTTTAACTATCTGTCCTTTGCCCCCTGAAAACAAACAAATAAAAAGTTGATACAGCCTCTATTTGTTCATACTAGCTCCATTTTATTCTGCAGTATGTAACTCTTTAAAACGCAGAAGGAATGTAAATACACTAACAGGAGATCTTTTGAAAGCATTATGCTTTTTACCAATTGGTTGGAAACACAACATTTTTGATACAACATACTACAGTAACACTACTCCTCCTTCCTCAGGTATTACGAATAATTTAAGAGTAAAGCCCACACCTTTATATCCACAAAATCAGATGTGCCCTAGGTGCTTAATAAATGTATTTTAGAAGATAAATGGATGGATAAATTCCAGATTCTACAGAATTAACCTTTTTATCAAAGTTTGCTTTAGGAAATTTCACCTGACTGGCCCTACAAAAAACCACTTTCTCAAAATCCTTCAAGAAACATAAATCCTGCGTAAATATGCCTTCCCTCATTTTTGCAATAGAAAATGAAGAACAACGTAGAAAAGTTAATCACATATAATGATCAGAGAAAAATTACAAATATATCTCTATATATCTAATATCATATAAATATAATATCAACAAGATGTTACCTTGAGGATAACATGTAAACTTTACCAAACACATAATACACAGAATTATGTGGCAAACGCAGAACAGAAAATATATGACAAAAAAAAATAGACTGGAAATGAGTGTTTTAAATAAAATTTGATTGTTCAGCAGTGACAAATTAGCCAAATAAATAATTGTGCTTTATGTTTGCCAGAAAATGTATACAAAGAAAACTCAGCTACCCTTTAGTTTAGTATTTCTAACACTTTTCAAAATAAACCTGCATTTACTGGGCACTTACTAAGTACCACTTATATTTCAAAGCCCACCACATGTACTAACTCATTCAATCCTTACAACTTAGAAGTAGGAACTATTCTTTCCATTTTAAAGATGAGGAAAACAAACACTGTGCCAAAAGCTTAAGAGCCATGAAGTTAGAAGTGTAACTCCACATTCTATTCCCAGAGCCTATAATTTTAACCTGTATGCTACATAGAATGCACGGGCTCTATTTCATACACTTATGTAACTGAATGGTACTTTGTATTGCTTACGTAGTGTAGAACCTCATGAATTACACTCTTTTGTGTGTGTTTTAAGGAGGCAATATCCTATTGCTTGGTCCTACTCCACATGGGAATACAGTATACTGTGGGGTACCCAACAGAGGATATACAATGTACAGGTCTAAATAGTGCAATGTGGAGTATTGAAACAATCTAAATTGTATGTCCAGATTTTGATGACTTTAAAAAAAAAAATCAAACAAACAACAATTCCAACATAGGAATCAGAACCACATGGGAAAAAGCAAGTAGGATGGACAAAAATGCTGCCTGTGACAAAAATTAATGCCAGCAATTAATTCTTTTCTTCTGTATTCAGCTTCCACCTATTTACCCAACTATGCCCAAGGTACAAAGCCTGAAGATTGTATTATGCACTAATCGGCTACTAACATGGGTTAACATGGAGTAAGGCCCTCAATAACTTTCCTCCTTGGTTGTTTCCTTGAACACCTTGCAAGGAGGCAAGATCCAAAGAGAGCTCCTTCCCTGTCCTCTGCAGCCCAGTCTCCTACCGGACAACCCAAAGGAGCTCCAGCCCTGGGCTAAGAACCGGCCACCCTGAATGCCTGGAGGCAATTCACCTACCCTCGGGTCACAGCGGGGAAGGAGGCCGTCGGAAACCTGGCCCGTAGGGCCAAACCTGTGGTTTCCTAAGTCATTTCAACTTTTCCCTGCCAGCAAAGTAGGGTTTTGCTGTGGAGACCACGACGTTGGGCAGGTTACTGCCTCAGCTGTGGGACCACAAAGGGAGAGCGCTGCCTTAGAAAGCGGCTCTCTCCAGGGAACGACCGAGAACCGTCCCGGCAGCCAGCTTTCCCGCAGGGAAAACTTTGAGAACTTAATTCCTGAGGCCAAAATCCGGCCTGGCGGCTGGCCCCGGCCCGCCGCGACAGTGAAAGTTCCAGCGGAAAGGGGAAAAGACACCCTTTGGCCTAAGAATTGCCCTCGGCCGAGGAAAACCTGCTCAGAACTTGGGACTCGGGCCGGCGAGGCGCGGGCGGAGGAAGTGGGCGGGGCGGGAGCGCGCACGTGTTCCCTTTGTCCCGGCGAGTGCGGCTCCCCCGAAGGCCTGGGGCCAGCGCCCCGCGCGCTCGCGGGGCTCGGCCGCCTTCTCCTCACCTGGCGCTCGAAGACTTCTCAGTGGGCCTCCAGCTCGACCACTGCGGGGCCGGAGAACCTGCGCTTGCCGCCCGCCTCGGTCCCAGCCCGGGGGGGAAGTTGGGCGGACGGACAGAGCGGGTGTAGGTCCGGCCCAGCAACCCGGCAACCTGCGCCTTCCGTTCCGCCGCTTCCAGCCCCCGGCTGCCGGAGGGTCTTGCAGGCGCTGCAGTTTCCAATCGGGGTTCCGTTCCTTCGCGGGGCGGGGGTGGAAAATAAAACCCTGCCATTGCCAGGTTTAAATTCGCTTTCGCTTTTTCTTTTTTCTTTTTAATGTCCGATGCAACTTTAAATCGAACTTTCCCTTTTATCCTGGTCTGCACTCTTTTCATTGTACTATGAACCTATGTGAAATGTTTGTGTCCAAGTAACACGGAAATTAGTTACGCACCAGCTTCTTTAAATGTGGGGATTTCTGTCTGCTTAGCGCTGTGTGTTTCTAAAGTTTGGGTTCTTTTTCCTTCATTTCGATACAAAATGAACCCGTTTCTTAACCTGTTATAATCCCTAATGTTTTGCCAAACTAAAGAGAGCTGGCACAGTAATAGCATTTATTATAACGTTAAAATGTATCTGCTTTAACTAAATATACATTCCTTAAAAATACGGAACTCATCTGAACACTGCTTACTGGCAAGTGTAAGGCAGAATTTAAAATTAAATGTAAAATAAGTACTTACATTAGGTGTAGAAACACCTGTTAGACGGGTAAGCCTGCAGTGTGTCAAAAATGACGAAATTTAAGACTTCTACTTTCTAAGTCACCAACGATCAATGCAGTTTTACAAGAAATTGGTAAAACATGCCTTTTTTCCCGCTCGATTAAAATAGCATCTTAATATCCCTTAATCTGGAAAGTACTTCAGAGACAAATTACTCAATTCTGAATTAGCTGGTTTGTACAGTTCAAGAAAAATCTCTTTAGGGATTTTCTGAAAACTTCAGTTTTCACTTCAATAAAATAAATAGTACCCACACACATCTCATGGGTTGTTTTGAAAATTAAATGACATAACAAATGTAAAGTTAATAAAAATGCCTGGGACATCAAAGGTAAAGTACTATAGAGTGAGTGCATATATGAAATACAATAAAAAGGCTTCTCAGTTTTATTATTAAACTCAGCATCACACACAAAAACTTGCATTTGATAAGATATATGTAATAGAGCCAGCAATTAAGAGCTTTATTGATCCTCTACCCTGTGTTCAGAAACAGTCATGTAGCATGCATCATATACAATACATGGTGCTTTTGATTTTCTTCCATAGGAAATAAATGTGCACCTTATGGGGGTTTTCCAGACATTGTTTAAGTTATAATACTCTGCACTGGTGTTCTGCCATCCTATTTACATGGTGATACTGAATCACCAGAATATAAGCTCCAAGAGGGCAGGAATATGGTCACAATTGTGTGCTATAATGGTCCCTAAAATCTATAATCAATAATTGCGGAATAAATGGGTACAATAATGGGAATACTATAAAGAACAACAATCAAATTCAAATCATACTTTTAAAAATGTCCTGACAAATTTATCTTAGCAAACATATTTCCCATTTTTCCAGGTTTTTTTCTTTTTAAAGCGTACATTCTGAAATAATACCTTAAACCTAGTACTTAAAAAAACCACTGCATCCAATAATGAACTAGGCCAATACATTTAAATGAATTTATTTTGTAATGCCATCATTAGAAAGAAACGTAAAAAACTGCCAAACACCAAATAGTTACACAGTCTGCACTAAAAGGGAGTAGGCCTGGGAGTCCTGCGAGATGAAGCCTAGGGCCTCAAACTAATAGCCATGAACTTTCAATTAATTGAAGCTTATTGATCTGGGTTAGGTCCAAGTGAAAGTGGCTGGAAGGAACAGGTTCCTATACCTTCCAGAGCTTGGGACCTGTCCCTTGGAGGCCTCACCAGTCAATTTCGAAAATAAACACCCAGAACCCATTAATCCACACCCAACAGGCTCCGCCTCTCCCTCTAGCAGAGGGCACACGCCAACCCCTACCCATACCCGTCTGACTCACACCCTGAACCCTGGGACCTGGCCCCGCGCCCGCGGGTCTGAAGGCGACCTGAGAATCCCAGGTGGCTCACTCCCACCTGCAGCTCCGACCCAGCCCCGCCCACCTCGGCCACCGCCTCCGGAAGCAGCCTAGCGCGTTGCCACGGAGACGCGGACCGGGGCCGCTTCCGCTGAGCCGCGCGGCTACGGCTCTGGGAGCCAAGCGGCCGCGCGCCGCGGCGACGTCCGGCGTGATGGCGTCACGAAGGCGACAGCCAATGAGAAGAGGCGCTGAGGAAGCTGGCTTGGGTTTGAATCTTTTGGTTGAGTTTGAGTCGCGGGGAGGCTGATAGCGAAATGGAGAGTCCCGGTGCCCTGCCTTGGGTCTGAGGTGAGGGAGAGGTGCTCGCCGAGAAAACTGTTCTCGGGACGCTCTTTCTGATGACCTGTCTTCTGGAAGCAGAGGAGTCCGGCTGTCTCACGCGTGGAAGACCAGGTGGGCTTGTTAACGTCCCGGAAGCTTCGAGCCGGGGGTGAGGGTGGGGATGGGGTTGGTTAGGGTCCTCGGGGTGAAAACTAAAGGACGAAGCGGCTGGAGAGGCCCCGGCGCGTGGCTCCCCGATCGGTAGCCTAGGACTGCTCGGCAGGAAGGGCAGGGATCTCCCGCCTTAAATTCTGAGGAAGTCGGACTTTTAAAGGGCGTCCTGGCCCTTTTCCCAGACTTTGGCAGAGCACTTTCTGTCCAGCACTTTCCAGTGTAAAGTTACCTCCAGACCCCAGGTTCAGAGCGTTTTCTTTCAGACACAGATGTAAATGTAGCCGGGCTTAACTTTCCAACGAGGAACCGTGGTGCACCAATTTGTAAACTTTCTGTCCGTGGAGATTCTGCTGTTAGCCTGGCAGGCGTCTGTCGGGACCTTGGCCTGAGGCCTGAGCGTCAAGGTTAGACCCGCAGCACCGCCGACGGGACTGCTGAGGACCGGAGCGGGTGTGGCGGAGACGGTGCTGCCTGGCACGGAGGGGACCTGCGGCGCTGGGAATCGGCCCTCCTAACGTCTGCTCTTAGTTTCTGCAGGACGCCTTTAGGCACTCAGGTAAAGAGAGGTCAAGGCCGACTGCCGTTGATGGGAAGAGATTTGACCAGAAGGGAATAAATGTTGCTGTGTACTATGCAATGTAGGTTAACGATTCACAATCAGGTAGGATGTGTCAGGCGTCCTACAGGTTTTTTAGTTCTTAATGTTTTTCCACCACCTTGAATTTTGGGAGGTGTATATGAACGTTGTGGGCTAGAAAATATAAGATTCAAAGAGTAGCTCGGGCTTGTTCCTAAGTTGCTATATTTTATAAAAACGGCCGCTTCAGTGTAAAGATTATCTGCCTTAAACTATAGTGATTGATGCCTCTTCTGTTATGGAACAAGTATTTAGAAGTACATAAAATTTTCATTTTAAAAGTGCCTCTCGTCCTAAATATATCCTGAATCAATTAAGGTGCACATAAAATGACTTACATGCTATCAACTCTATAAAAACTAGGAGGAAAAAATAGCCCAGAAGTCAGTGCTGCCCTTCCCTGCATGTGAAATTCGTTCCCTGATGCTTGCAAGTTAGTAGAAGCAGTGGCTCTGACACTAAACTTATTTCCAAAACGAGATTTAAGTTGCCTAGAGACAATAAATGATAGTGTGGAGGATAGTTCCTGGTCCTGAAAACTGTTGGTTGAATCTGAATCTAATTCAGGTTTGAGTTGTATTTAAGAAATAATTTATAACTGTGTCACTCCACACTCAAGATGATTTGTGCAGCATTTCTGCTTCATTGTTTGAAAGCATTTTGTTCTGATTCCAAAAGAACATAGTTGTTAAGAACATTGACTTTGGATTTGGACCTGGATACACATTCTGACTCCTCACTTACTAGCTATGTCATCTTTGCAAAATTACGTATTCTAAAGCTAGGTCTCTGTTTTTGAAAATGGAGACAGTTATAGAATCTACCTTATATATGATTTATTTTTTAAGGTTCGAATGAGATGATGAATGTCAAATGTGTACCATAATGCCTGGCATATAAAGTGTCTTCAAATGACAGTCATTGTTGTTAATGATTACTGATTATCTCTGTATAGACCTATAATCCAAGAGTTCCCAATTAATAGTATATTTTGGTGAGAGTAGAAACTGTGATAATCCCAACAAGCACAGAGAAATCATAAACTTTGTTTTATTTCAACATTTATTGAAGAGCTCCTGTACTAGGCCCTGAGGTTTCTGTCAAAAGTAGGCAAATATATACTTTTTAACTCCTATAAAAAATTTCTGAGGATCATGTATTGATATCAGGAAGAATGGCAATTCAGTACTTGAGTTTTAGATTTAGTTAATCTATGTTCAAATCCCACGGCTTTCTCTTCCACTAGTGTGACTTCAGCCAGTTAACTTAATTTCTCTGTACTAGTACTAGTTTCTTCCTCTCTAAAATTGGAATGGTAATAATATAGCTGTATCATAGGGTTGTTGTGGGGGTTAAATGAGGAGCGTGTAAATGGCTGCTTAGCATGTCTGTTTGTAGACTAGGAGCTCAAGAGAAAGTATTCCAAAAATAGAACTTACTGTTATTGAATGATAATTGTGTTTAAGGTAAATTTAATAGTTTTTCTATTTTGTTTTGTTTTTGAGATAAAAATACCAAGACTTGTTTAAAATTCAAACAGCACAAAAGAATATAAAGTAGAAAGTAAGCCTGCCTGTCACCCAGACCTTTATATGTCCCCACCATGGGGAAACTGGCATTATCAATTTCTGTGTTCGCTCCCTCAGAGAGCCCATGCATAGGTAAATATGTATGTATCTTTTAAAAATACAAATTGTTGTGGTCCAAGTCCACTATTCTGCACTTGTTTTTTTTGCACATATATCTTGAAAAATCTGCATTAGTTTATTTATTCATTTATTCAAAGAGGATATATTAAATCCTAAATATTTGACTAGCCCCATGCTAGGTTCTGGGGTACAGATGAAGACCATCCTCTCACAGTGCTGAGGGGAAACAATCAATATGTAACCAAACAGTACATATATTTTCCAGTTAGTCTATAGGCTAAGAAGAAAAATAAATCAGGTAAGGGATTGGAGAGGCAAGGGCAGAGTGATACTATATTGAAGGGGATCTTTAGGGAAAGCTTCTGTAAAGTGACATTTGAAGAGATCTAAATGATGAACTGAGGGATTCAGATTTGCAAATATCTGAAGGTAGAGCCTTCCAGGCAAAGAGAAGAGAGTGTGAAGGCAGTGAGGCCAGAACAAGGCTGAAGTTTTTTTAGGAACACTAAGGACAGTGTGACAGAAGCAGAATAATAAAGGGGGAGGATAACATTTGAAGAAATGTTCAGAGAAGTAGACTGGCCAGATGTAGAACCTACAGGACATGCTAAAGAGTGCATTTTATTCTTATGTTGGGAAGTCATTGAAGAGTTTAGAGCAGGGAGAATGACAGAAGGTATCAGTACATACAATCAGTGAATTAAATAAAATTTATTATTGTATTAACATATAATTGGGGGGGGTGAATCTTTAACTTTAATTGGCTTATATTTTATCTAGGTTGAATGGTAGGTGAAGTTAAGGATTTGCCCGTTCAACCCAATTTATGTTATCTCTCAATTATCTAAGAGAATTAGGTTTTCACACCTCTTCATTAAACATAGCAGAGCAATGAGCTGTTCCATGTAAGTGGAACTCCCAGAAAATTGAATGTTACCCTTGTTAAGTGATAATTTAAGCACCCTCAATGATTAGCATAAAACTATCTCGTTTTCCTCATTGTGTATATAAAGAAATTGGGCACTTTTTTTTTAAACTTGTGCCTCAGCGTCCTCAGTGTAATTGCCTGTTATTGCCAGTCACTGTACTCTACTGTAATGTGTTCATTCTGTTAGAGAAATATATTGTGTTTGTCTCTATTCTAAATGGGTAAACTGCTTTCTTAAATGTTGTGTCTATTTTATAATTAAGTTTTTATTCATTAATCAAATATTTGAGAACTTACTATATACCAGGTACATTACAAGAACTTAGGGATATAAAGGTTAATATGTATATATATATATAGCTTCATTAGCTGTTATTCCTTGTCATGTGCAATAATTATAAAAGTTTAGAGCTAGAAAAGGGCCTTAGATATCATGTAGTGCAACTTTATCATTTTATAGATTGGCAACAAAAAGCCCCTTCATTAGCGCCTCTGTTACTCTTTTATGTTCTACTCTCTCTAGACTAGACAAATACCTTTCTTCTATATGAACAAGGGTGTGGGAAGCGATTATCTTTAATGTTTTAGTCCTAACAACAAAATCCCACCAGCCTGTGCTTTTGATTCTATTCAATAAATACCACTTAGGAGATGTGACAAAATTGAACTGTCGTCTGAAAAGCATTTTTGAATCAACACATTATTGCACAGATAACAACATTTAGGCCTTTCTTTGCCCCTTCTTATTAAACATGGTTAAGGAATTTGCTTTCCCTGTGCCTTATTCAGAATCAGTTCGATATCTGTCTCTTTTACTGGGCAGTGATAAAAAAGAAAGCACGTATTGCATGTTAGTATAAGAACAGCCTCATCAGTCCCTGAACCCATCAGTATATTTGAACATAGACAAATTTGTACATTTTGGTAATTCTGTTGACCTTAGGTATTTTTATTAAGAAAATCATATTCACTCATTTGTTTTGAAAAAACAGGGGAAATGTGATACCTTAAAAAGTAAGATTGGTGTCTTTCTTAAAATCTATAATAAGTTGTAAAACAAATTTGTATTTGCCATACTTCTTAAACTGTCTTTTAGGTAATTGTCAATATTTCTCCATGAAATGTTACTTGAATAAGATCTGTTACCTTCTAAAATACCTTCAATAATTTCTAATTAACTTCTAAATCAAATCTAAACTATAACCTTGCATTTTACATCTTCTAAATCTAGCCCCACCCTTATCCAGTTTTATCTTTGAATGCAACATTCTTCCTTCTCTTTTGCTATATCAGGACTGAGCAAAGCTATATTTAAACATTTCTTTAGATGCTGTAGATAAAGTTACAATCACCTAAAACTAAACTACAAGAAACAAGATTTAAGCAAAATGACCATGAAGCCAGTTATATCCACTGCACAAATTGTTTTTTACCACAGGCTCTTGGACTTGCTGCCTGAAATATTTTTGCCATAGCCGCTTGCTTTCTCACTCCCTCACTTCAGTTTCTGTGAAGTCACCCCACTAGATAAGCTTTTTTCAACTGCCCTCTCTAAAACAGGAGCCCACACATACACTCCTGACCCTCTCTATCCTAGCGCCCAGAGAAATGTGTAGCACATGGCAGGCACTCAATAAATGTTTACTGAATGCATAATTAATTTTTCTCCTTGAAATGCTCTTTTACCTGGTTAATAATTACCCATCACTCAGCTCTCAACTCATCACTTCCTCTAGGAAGCTTTCTAACTGTATCAATTCCCCAATATAGTCTTACATAGCACTGTTCACCTTTACTTATAACACTTGTCACAGTTACACTTTTACATTTTTGTGTCACTATTTTGTTATTATCTGTTTCCCTCACTGCACTGTATATTATAATAATAATGTTAGTAGCAAACATCTGTAGTGCACACTCTGTGTCAGGCATTGTTCTGAGTGCTTAATCCTCAAAACAACTCTATGAAGTAGGTATGTGGAAACTAAGTCACAAGGAGGTTAAATAATTTGCCCACTGTTACAGCCAGTCAGTAGTAGAGCTGAGATTTTAACTTAGGCTGTCTGGCTCTAGCACCTAATAATTAACTTGCTGAATTGATTGGTAAATTAATTAGCAAGATATAACTTCCAACCTTGAGATTCTAAAGTCTATTTTGAAATAATTACCTACTATTTTATTTATGCTTAATTAACCATTTCATTTGTGTGTATTTTATCTGTTATTTTAAAAAAGTATATTAGTTGAAGCCAAAGCATTGTTGAATATTTCTAAAAGATTTAGAAATGTGAATGGAGGTTAGTTTTGGTATCACAAGAAGTGTGGGATTCTACTAGCCCATGGACAGGCTTCAGAAATGATAAACATCCTCTAATGGGTGGGTCAGTTCCAAACAAGGAAGAGTTGTCCTACCAAAGTGCCAATCATAAGCCTATCTGGAAACAAAATGATGGATCAGTATCTTTGGGAGTAGGAGGCATGAGTGAGGACAGATAGTGAAGAAAATTGACATTTATTGAATGCCTTAATACTCTTAATACCTGTTATGTCCTTTAGCCTTTACAACAGTATTATGAGGTATTATCTCTTTTATACAAATGAGAAACCTGAGACTCAATGAGATTAAGTAACTTGACCAAGGTCATAGAAGTGAACTATAGGTGCTTTGTGGGACTTGGCTAGACAGAAAGAGCAGAGTAGTAATTCACTTGGGACCTGACTGTTAGAATCCAAATGACCATCTTTCGTCTTCAGCATTCTATTTTTGGGGAAGGACAGAGTCCTAAAAAGGGAGTGCTGTGTCCACTGTCATCTGCTTTTAGATTGCTTTTGGCCTTATTTGAATTCTTTCCAAAAGTATATGGTTTTATGACATATTTTAGCTATGTCATTGCTGTTATTTTTTCAATTTTAAAAAACAAATGAACTTTCTTCTTTTAACCCCTCTTTCCCTCCACCTACACCGTTTCTTTGCTCATTTTTGCAGTAGTAGTTTTTTAATTCACTCTTTGAATCTTTTCCCTTTCAGGCTTTTGTCCTACCATTCCCCCAAAATTGCTCTTCCCATTGGCCTAAATCTCATAGTTACTTCTTAGGTATTGAACATATTAGCAGTACTTAACTCAATTGATCATTCCCTCCTCCTTGATTTAAAGGTGTCCCCATATCTTAATTCCATTTGAAACTTTTACTTTTAAAAGTTTTAAATGGCATTAACACTCTGAAGACAGCCTTTGCTTTCTTAACTTGGCTTCCAACTGCCTCAACATTTCCACTTGGATGCCTATTAACCTTTTCAAATTTAAGATATCCAGAACTGAACTCCTGTTCTACCCTCTGTTATTATCACCTTAGTTAATGGCTATTCCATTTTTCCAACACTCAGGCCAAGAACTTTGGAGTTAATTCTTAAATCCTGTCTTCCTCTCGTACCCTACATCTGTCTATCAGGAAATTCTGCTGAGTATTTAGAGTATACTCAGAATCTGATCACCACCCTATTCTGAGTTGACAACATCATCTCTTATCTATATTGCTTCAATGACCTAACTAATCTCTATTCCCTATAGTATGTTATCTACACGGCAGTGAGAGTGATCGGATTATGTCACAGTACAAAAAATTAAATGGTACACATGTACAAAACCATGATACATCTCTTTCCCTGAAATACTAAATCCTGGTCTTACACTTAAACACTTAAGCTAAACCATATACAATGACAGGTAGGCTACCCAGAAATTCTAGCTTTGATTTTTTTTTTTTAATATATTTTTATTGATGTTAGAGAGAGAGGAAAGGGGAAAGAGAGAAACAAAGTGAGAGGGAAACATTGATAGATTGCCTCCTGTACATGTCCTGACTGGTGACTGAACTGGCAACCTAGGTATGTGTCCTCAGGAGGAATCAAACCTGCAACCTTTTGGTGTATGGGACAACACTCCAACCAACTTACCCACGCTGGCCAGGGCTAGCTTTGATATTTTTACAACAGCCCCAGCACTATTTTAGTTTGGGTCATGGGAATGAACAGAAAAGGATCTCTCAGAATTATATCAAGGTAATGAAGGGCCTTGGGTTGTGAACTATTTTTAGTAAAAGTAATCTTGGCTGTAAGCTTCTGGGCAGTGGAAATTGATACAACTAGGCTTGTCTCTACCTGTGTCTCAGAGACCCATTGTGTTAAAAATAATTTCAAGGATTCATCGATTAGCCCAGATATGAAGGTGATAGAGATGGTATATACCCATGGTTTATTCAGGGACCCTAGTCTCTGAATATAAATCCTAGTTGCTGCTCTATAATGATGCAAGTTTAGGGTACATCAATGCTGGCAGGTTTAAAAATTACGGTCTGACTCCATGACTGCCTCACAATAGCAAGAAAAGTAAAGGGAAACTAACAAAACTCAATAATGTGGGACCCTCTACAATCTAGAAAATAATCTAAAATCTAAAAGTTATGACCAAAAAAAACCACCTTTTAGTATTCACTAATTTATTCATCAAATATTTATAGAGTATCTACCATGTGACAGGCACTGTTTAATGGTCTTGGAACACATAATAAGCAAAACAAATTTAAAAAATACACACTGTTGAAGAGTTTCTAGTTTAACTGGAAGAGAGAAAAATAAGCTCAAAAATAAGTAAAAAACTATATATATATATATATATATATATATATATATGCACATACATACATTCTGAGACAGTAAATGCTTTGGGGGAAAAATAGAGCAGTATAAGAGTGATTAGGAATTGGTTTGGCAATTTTAATGAGGGTAGACAGGAGGACAACAGTAGAGAAAGGCCTCGAAAGGAGTGAAGGAATTGACTGTGTAGTTGGCAATAGAGAGAATGGCTAACAGACCCTACTGGGGCGCTTGGTGTATTTGCTGGAATGGAGTGAGCAAAGGGGTGAACAATAAAACTTGAAGTGAAAAGTGTTGGCCATTAAAGAACTTCAACTTGTACTCTGAATAAAATGAAGAACCACTGGAAGCTTTTGAACCAAGGAGTAAAATATATAAATAAACAAACAAATGTGTGTATATACACACACACTTGACCCTTGAACAAAACAGAGGTTAGGGGCACTTCTCCACTCCCAAGGCCGTTCAGAATTTAGGTATAACTTTTTTAAAAAAATTAAATTTATTGGGTGACATTGGTTAATAAGATTATATAGGTTTCAAGTGTACAGTTCTATGATACTTCATCTGTATATTGCATTATGTGCCCACCTCCCAAAGTCAAATCTTCCATCACCATATATTTGACTGCCTTTACCCTTTACCCTCCCCCTTTCCTCTGGTAATCACCATACTGTTGTCTGTCTGTGAGTTTTTGTTTGTTTTTCTTGTTTTTTCATTTGTTGCTTTCAGTTTTATATCCCACATATGAGTGAAATCATACGGTTTCTAACTTCTGTCTGACTTATTTCACATATAACCTTTGACTCTCCCAAAACTTTACTAATAGCCTACTGTTGACTAGAAGCCTTATTAATAATATAAACAGTCAATACATATTTTGTATGTATCATGTACTATATTCTTAAAGTAAGATAAAGAAAAAATGTTACTAAGAAAATCATAAGGAAGAGAAAATACATTTACAGTATTTATTTTCAAAAACCCGCGTGTAAGTGGACCCATACGGTACAAACCCATGTTGTTCAACAGTCAACTGTATGTATATTGCCCATAACACTTACCAGGTGAGTGGAACAGAATTAACACCTTTTTAAAATGAATACTACATGCCAGTCATTTTGCATACATGAGGACTAATATTAATACTTTGGTTTTTGTTTGCATTTTAGAGAAGTATTTAGGTTTTCATATAAACAAAGGTATCAAGATAATCCACAATGTCTGTAACTGAGGAAGACCTGTGTCACCACATGAAAGTAGTTGTTCGAGTGCGTCCTGAGAACACAAAGGAAAAGGCAGCTGGATTTCATAAAGTGGCTCATGTTGTGGATAAGCATATTCTAGTTTTTGATCCCAAACAGCAAGAAATCAGTTTTTTCCGTGGAAAGAAAACTGGAAATCGAGATATTACAAAGAGACAAAATAAGGATCTTAAATTTGTATTTGATGCTGTTTTTGATGAAACTTCAACTCAATTGGAAGTTTTCGAACACACTACGAAGCCAATTCTTCGGAGTTTTTTGAATGGATATAATTGCACAGGTAATTATTTCAGTTGGGGGTTTAATTTTCCTGTCTGATTTTAGCTTTACATTAGAAGACATCTACTTGGCCCTTTGCTCTAAATATAATCAATTTTAAGGTCCATGTTTGCTAAAAATTATTGAATTCAGTAGACTTTCACTGTAAATGTAAACTTTATTTGAAACTTAGTTATCCTATATAACATATATCATTTGTGAAATTTTCTCTTTCATGGTCGTACTATGTTCCCTAGAGACAATCGTCCAATTTGTTATGACACCACATGCTTCTTATAATTGATGCCAGATTTCTCACAATCTCTGTTTGTAGGTAGTTCCACTGCTTACCCGTACAACTGTCTATCCCAGTGGAGTAGTCAGACATTTTTGAACACTTGGCATTTTCTTTACGGCACTATTTTTTTTTTTTTTACACTGTCTTGAAATAAAAATGTTAAAAGTCCAAGTTAATTGGGTTTCAAGTGCTCTGTTAGCATATCTTCAGCCAAAAAAGTATGTCTAGTGCCCTTGATAGACCTATAATAATTTGCCTTTCAAAACAACCATCTTGATTTCCTGGAGATATATCCAAAAGACCAGTTATTTCCATACTTAGGAGGCGCTTGACATCATTATTCATATCTTAGTTTTAGAATTACCACAATTTATGACATTTTCTTTAAGACTCCCCAAAACTGCCTGGCCAGGCGTGGCTCAGCGGTTGAGCATCAACCTAGGATCCAGGAGATCGGGGTTCGATTCCCGGTCAGGGCACATGCCCGGGTTGTGGGCTAGGCAGCCGATCAATGACTCATCATTGATGTTTCTCTCTCTCTCTCTCCCTCTCCTTTCCTCTCTCTGAAATCAATAAAGATACATTTAAAAAAAAAAAAAGACTCCCCAAAACTATAGCATGTTTCACTGACTTTCACTGACTCACTCAGTTTTATTATGGAAGACTTACCCTCTTGGTCAAGCAAGAATGGAATGTGGTTTATTGATTATAACTGTGATGATTCTGATTTTTAGCATATATTCTTTCCCTCATTCGTGAAACTCCGTATTTTCTCTAGAGATTTTTAAATTTTTTTGACACCAAATAAAAAATATGCCAAACTAATATTGAATCTTTTGTTTCTTCTTACCTTTACTTTATATTCTTATCCAGCTGTCTTAATACTTCTTTATGTACTGTGGGCTTACATAAAATAGAACAAAATGAAACATACATCAGTTAATTCATTCTACTGAAAAGTAATTTTGTAGTTTGTTACATTTAGCTTAGCAGAGAGATTTAACTTATAAAAATATTCTCACCAGTAATAATATGAGGAATTACTGCCTTAACTGAATATTGTGATGGGTATTTGCTATACGTGGACTTTTTTTTTGCATTTGAAAACAGAACACATCGCTTTTATGTGTTACTGGATAGAATCTTGAAAACGAAATAATTTGCCTAAAACAAACATTTTTGTTTGTTTTAAATTTAAAAAAGAGTTTTATAAATGGTTTCTATCTAGAACCCATTGATTCAGCAAACTTGTATTGAGTGCCTGCTTTGTGCCAGGTGGTTTGCTAGGTGCGAAGGACACCTGGCCTCTGCCTTGGTGGAGCTCACAGTTGGAAATATAGTGTGATATGTGCCAAAATAGAAGGATGTGTGGCATATACTGAGGGCTCAAATGAGGGAGTAGACGTTTCTGCCTAAGACTGTCAGGGAAGGCATGGGAAAGTGACATCTGTGCTGAATATTTAGAATAGATGAAGTTTTCTAGTTGGATTAAATAGAGGAACTTTCCAGGACAAAGGCAGTAGAGTAGAAAGGGAACAGCACTTGCAGAGAACTTCAAATAACCTAGTGTATCTAGAGAGAAATAGGCTAGAGCGATAACAGGCCCTCTCTCTTAGAATGCCTAATAATATTCCAAGACCAGGAATTCTAATTTTCTCATGTAGGACTGTGGAACTATTAAAAAGGTTTAACATATTCAGACTTTACTTTTCATAAAAATAACTGTACAGATTCCATGGGATGGATTAAGGAAGATCAAGACTACTAGGGAGACTAATAATTGATTACTTAAAATTTGTAAAGAGTGGGAGCAGGCATTGGGGTGAGGGAGGGGTCTGGACAGTGGATGATGGTTCCATTAATCAGAACAGAGAATATAGGAGTAAGAGTTAATTTGTGCTAACATTGAAGGTTTTCAAGGTAAGACTATAAATTAATTTTGGATCTCTCCGTTGGGTTTAAAGTTACTGTTCAGCATATCCAGACGGAACTACCTACTAGACAGTGGATATAGTAACTATATGTCATAACAAAGAGTTTTGATCTCTTTCCATAAAAATCCAGTACTTGCATATGGTGCCACCGGAGCTGGGAAGACCCACACGATGCTAGGATCAGCCACTGAACCTGGAGTGATGTACCTAACCTTGTTAGACCTTTACAAATCCATGGATGAGATTAAAGAAGAGAAAATATGTAGTACCGCAGTATCTTATCTGGAGGTAAGTTGGCAATATCATTCTTTAGATTAATCAGTAGTATTGAGAAGTCTTTCTTAAAGTTCCATGGTCTAGCCACATTATCATACAGGAATTTTCTCGTGAATATATAATATTTAAAATTTTGGTCTTAAGTTCCTGTGATACATCTTACTTTTTCTGTTAAGTATTTTATCTTGCATAATTTCTATCTTACAGAAAAGTAGCAAGATTAGCACGAAGAACTTCCAGATACCTTTTACCCAGATTCCCCATATGTTAACATTTTACTACCTTTGCTTTCTCTCTCTGTATGTGTGTGTAGCTATTTCTTTTTTCTAAACCGCTGAAGTTATGGACTTCTAGAAACAGGAAATTTCCTTAAATAACCACTGAATAGTTATAAATATCAGGAAATTAACAATAATACATAGTTATCTAATCTATAGATCTTAATGAGAGTTTGCTAGTGATTCTAATATCCCCTTTATTGGAAAAGAAAATCTGAGATCTTTAGTTGCATTCAGTTGTCATATCTCTTTAGCCTCTTTAATCTAGATTTCTTTGTCTTTATAGACAGGGTTTTGTCTTAAAACCCTTAGTTTGGGTTCCTCACAATTAGATTTGGGTTATGCACTGGCAGAAATACCACAGAAGTGACTTTGTGTTCCTATGATGTCATATTAAGAGACTTATGTGGTTAGTCTCATTACTAGCTATGTTAACTTTGATCAGTGTCATTCTGCTGGTGCCTGCGAAGTTTCTGCACTGTCAAGATACTACTTTACCTTTTATAATTAAAAAGTACCTTGTAGGGAGAAAATATAAATATCCTCTTACTCAAACTTTCATGCGTTAGTATTATCATCCACTGATGATTCACGTTTGAATCAATTATCATGATGGTAGATCATGATTTTTAAATTCCTTCATTTATTCTACATTTATTTATTGGCTGTCTACGGTAAGGAAGAGCTTCTCTTTATTGTATCAGTGTGGACTCATGGAATTCTTAACATTATTCAATAGATTATAATCCCTTTCTGTAATTATTTATTTGTATGCTGAAATTGTGCCAGATTTGGCCAGACAAGGCTCTTTCATGCTGTCTCTTGGGTCCTTTTGATATACCCCATTGTTCCTGGAGGCCTCCTACCCTCTTACCAATAGCTGACATTCAACAAATCATAACTAAGTCCAGGCATTCTAACTTTGCATTCATACCGTGTTTCAGAAACCAGTGCAGAAACATAAATTCCTGATTTTACTGCCCATTCACTTGTGGTGTCAGAGAGAAAATTCTACTAATCATAGCTCTTTTATTGATATCTTGTAGTTAAGTTCCTACATTTCAAAAATTCATTAAGACTATGTATGTTGCTAAAAAATTTTCTTCTTAGTCTATGGGACTTGAAGATAAAAGAGAAGTAAAACTCATTTCCTATAGTTAAGCACTGAAAAGAAATGTTCTGAACATAATTAGAAAAGAGCATGGCAGTATTCATTGTTTCTTCCTTAGGTCCCTTCATAACTGGGAGAAATTTGAAGTTTGGTTATTTTTATAATGTTTTTAATTGTTTTTCCTTTCTTTTAATCTACTTTCATTTTATTATTGGTAAGGCGATGTCTAATCTAATGGTTTTCCACTTGGGTTGTGCACCAGAATTGGCAATGGAGCTTTTTAAAAATAGACGTGCCTGAGCCTCAACCCCTGGACATTTTAATTTAATAGGTCTGGATTGTGGCCGAGGCATCTATGTTTTTAAAAAGCTCCCAGGTGGTTCTGAAGCATAAACTAGCTTGAGAGTGATTGTTCTAATTGTATTTTTTGTATGATTTAAGTGGGTAAGGGGAAACATTGGAAAAGTGACTACTGCTTCAGAAAAATGAGAACCAAAAAAGTATCTCTTGACATTTTACCTCTTTAAAGAGTTTATTATGTTTAAAAATGGTTATCATTCATTGTAAAAATTTTTACTAGCAGTGAATTGTCATTATGGGCTATTTATTAGAACATGAAAATGTCAGTTGCAGTTGTCATTTGGTTAGAAACTAAAAAATTTAGTATCTTCAGTTAATTCATAAAATTAGATCAGTAATACTATTTCTATACATTACTTACAGAAATCACTATAAAAAATGTCAGAGACATAAATACAGATGTGTATTCAATACCATGCGGTAGAGTGAGGATATTTGGGCTTCAATCCCTGCTCTGCTATGGCCATGGACAAATCGCTTAATCTTTTAGAGCCTTAGTTCCCTCATCATTTAAATGGAGGGAGGGAGTTCCTTTGTGGAATTTATCATTAAGAACTACATATTAAAATTAATATAATTGAAGGATAAATGAAGTACTGTACATTCTTAAGTATAGGTTTTCTTTACCTTTAGAGCTGTAAAATTTCAAAAGATTGGGCTACTTGGGCATCATGAAATAATATATCTTCTCTGGTGCGAATCGTGCCACCTCCATATTACTTACATTTCAGGTCCGCTAGAATTTCCCAATACCATGTGTCCTGTCTATTTCCAGGAAATAGGGAAAGGTAATTCCAACTACCTTATTTCTGTTTCACTGAAGTCATCAAGTTAGGAATTATGGGGTGAGGGTATCATGACTCCGCCTTTAAATTTCAATTTCAAACCTAGGTAATTAAACGCTCTGTTCTCTCAGATGGTAGAAAATTAATGGCTACATGAAATAGAAGGAATGAGAAGAACTAAATGAGCTGCTATTTGTCTTTAAGATGAAACTCTAGTATAAACTTAAATCAGCAATGTATGCTTGCATGTGCTGTTATCACTGTTGTTTTAACATAAATCCTAAAGGAGTTTTTGTTTGTTTGTTTGTTTGTTTTTAATTTAAAGGTATATAATGAACAGATTCGTGACCTCCTCGTAAATTCAGGGCCCCTTGCTGTCCGGGAAGATGCCCAAAAAGGGGTAGTTGTTCAGGGCTTAACTTTACATCAGGTATGTTTATAAACTTTTTCCTTGTTCAAATAGCAAGTGTGGTTGTTTAGCCATTTACTTATTTTTTATTTTGCTTGAGAGGGAAGAAAAATAATGAAGTGCTAAATTTAAATAATCAGGGTATATCTTCAGTCTTATTTTATTTTCCTTGAAATAATTAAATGAGCTTTTCTTTTAAAAATACACATGAACATTTAAATATCATGTATTATTCTGTTTAATACATTTATATTTTCACTCTTCAGAGGACAAGATTTTATTTTTTATTCCTCATGTAACACCAAAGAACAAAGCAAATGATATACAGTCAATATTTAATGGGATTTAAATTATAGAAAGCATTTTCTTACCTTTAAAAGTTTTCTTGGTTGTTGAAAATGTGTTAAAAAATTTAAAGACAGGTGGTTAATTTGCATATATTTTTTTAAACTTCTCTAGCCCAAGTCCTCAGAGGAAATTTTACAGTTATTGGATAGTGGAAACAAAAACAGGACACAACATCCTACTGATATGAATGCTACATCTTCTCGTTCTCATGCTGTTTTCCAGGTAACAGGCCACTAGACTATCACCCTTAAAGTTGAATTTAAAATAAACAAGCCAAGTTCATGGATGGTAATTTTCACACATACAGAAAAATTTTTTCATCTATGGCCTTCTGTATTTCTCTGCTCTTTCTTTACTTTGCAGCTTTGAGAAGATTCTATCAAGAATATTTCGAATTGAGATGATGTAAATCAGAAATGTAAATTTTACCTGTTTAAAGATATAAGATTAAAAAAATGTAGAAGTGTTGGAGGTGTTTCTTTCCTGATTTTTTTTCCTTTAAGTTGGTGAAAATATTTAGTATTTCTAAAACATAATCTTATATGCAGAGCAGACTTTCTCTTTATAGATCTACATTTACAGAACCAATGAATTGTGGAGATACTGATTCACTTTTCAAAATATTTCATCATAGTGACCATATAAAGTAGTTACAATCCTTAAGGAAGTGCAATTCTGTTGATACAGTACTTTTAGGAATATAATTCTAGAAAAAGCTAAAGCATAGGTTAGATATTATTTTTTATAGTTACTAGTCCTATTAAACCAAATGATTATGTAGCTTTATTCTGGATTATGCTGTGTAGAACTCATTTTATAGAAATTGTTACAGTTGAAGGAATTCATATCTGAGGCAATCAAGTCATTCAGAAAGTTTCCAGCCCACAAATTTTATTAATTTCTTCTCTTCTTACCACTGACTCTTCTTTTATCAGTATTCTTGAGAGAAATGTTAATCTGTGACACGGAGTTTTCCAAAATGTCTTAGACCCTGCTTTGTAAGACAATTTAGCGAAAGGGTTTCATAATGGAGTAATAGCTAACCTTCTCAGTATCTTTTTAGTTTGCCACCAAATTTATTTCAGTTAAAGAACAAAGTAGCTTAAAATAGTTGAATAAGTTATGCTTTATTCTAATGGACCGTTGAACATGGCTAGTATTCTTTATGATATATTTCATTTTTTAAATTATAATTACACACAACAGTTGGGGAAATGGAGTAAATTTACTCCTTGATTTGGGTCAACATTCAAATTCAGCTTTCCTCTAGGAGTTGTCCCTTCAGATATGCAAAGCATTCTGACCACTGCCTTTGGTTTTCTCTTCGGAACATTATTTCTAGAGGACCTGTGCGCCACCACCTTCTCTGATAATTCCATGTTCTAATTCAAGGGTTACCAGAACACAAATGGTAACCTTTTTGACCTTCTTTCTGGCCCAGACTTATTTGTCCTCTGGTACACATTTTATTTTCCAGTTTTTCTCAACTTTGGTAATTACTTCTGGTACCGTTGGATATCAGCCAAGTCAGATTATACCTTGTCTGGTTTGCTTTTTAAATGAAAATAATTTTGATTTCATGCTCTTTTAAAAATAAACTGTACATTTCCCTTTTAATTTTGTTAAATCCTCTCATCATTTTCTCTATTCTGTAATTTCAAAAGATTTATTTGCGACAACAAGACAAAACAGCAAGTATTGATCAAAATGTCCGAATTGCCAAGATGTCACTCATTGACCTGGCAGGGTCTGAAAGAGCCAGTACTACCAGTGCAAAAGGGACCCGGTTTATAGAAGGCACAAATATTAATCGATCACTTCTAGCTCTTGGGAATGTCATCAATGCTTTGGCAGATACAAAGGTAGGTACTGTGTATTTATTTGAATATGTTGAAATATTATAGTATGTATAATTTCTAGAAAGATACTATTTAATGTAATTTTATTTTGAAGGTCTATTAATCAAATTTCAAGAGTATGTCAATAATTTTTATATGCAGAACAAGGACTTTAGAGAGCCTAATATATCAAATAAAGCTATGGTTCTGTATTTTTTTTAATTTTCAAGTTTTATAACCAGAATTTGTTGAATGAAAAGTATTGAATGTAAGATTCATAGTTAATATTTTATGGTACTTTCTCATTACTTATTTTGAACTTGATTTTTAAATGATCACTACACAGCAAGCATGATAATTGAATTGGCATGAAGACACAAAACACATTTTAGAAAAATTAAATCTGTTCTGGTTAGTATTTTTATGTGCTGTAAAATTGGGTTAAATATTAAAGAGTGTTGATTTTCCTTAGAGAGGAAGAGGGACTTAATATATAAAATGTAATTAATTACCTAATAGGATAATGTTGACTAGATGCCTGTGGGGCATTTAAAATATTTTACATCTACTATACGCCAGAAGTGCCTACTAGAACACAGCATATTTGACAATTTCTGTATTTGTAAAAACTGACTTTTTTTAAAACTTAAAATACAGTCATTTAATTTACGTTCAAAGCAGGCTCAAAAGCTGTAAGAAAATTACTGTTAAACTCTTTAAAATGTTGCATTTTGATTTAATATGAAGTATTTTAAAATGATTTGAGGACCCTTTTTAAAATAGGTAACTTACTGAAATCACTTGAAGATTGCAAAAGCAATTTGACTTTTATATTCTAAGTTAAAATTTCAAACATGTAAGCAGATAGCATGGTATAGCGATTGATTTCTAAACTTAAACTATAGCATTTTTTTCATAACTACTTAATTTTTAATAATTGACTCCTGTAGAGTCATTTAGAGTCAGTCTTTAATGCATGTCTTGTACATGTAAAATCATTTCAAGTAGCAGCAATGCACATCCTACAGTTTGGGAAAGACTGCTGCGATGGTGGAGCTGGGAGGCGTAGGGCCCATTTCTAGCTCTGAATTATCAGCCGTGTGACCTGAGGCAAGTCATTTCACTTTTTACTTAGCTCAGTTTTCCTCTTCTGTAATACGAAAGATTTACATTGGATAACATAAGATTGCTTTTAGCTTAACATTATAATGCTCTCTTTTTATATAGCAGTGGTGTGTCTTGGAAAATTTATTAAAGTCAGAACTGTATCTTTTAAGTAAAAGAAAACCTAGAAAAATTAAGTTCTCTTGGAACTGTGTTATGCTTTCCGATGCACTATCTATCAAATTATAATTATAATTTGTTTTGTACCCATCTTAGATGGTAAGAGAGAAGCAGCTCTATGCCATGCAGAATTCTTACTATTCCTCTAGTATATTTGTTTAGAGCAGGGGTGGGGGGCATCCAGCCCTTAGGCTGTATATGGCCCTTGAAATCATTTGGTCTGGCCCTGCCAAGGCAACCACAGGCAGGACTCGAAAGTCAATAAATCTAGAAGCTTTTGTCATAGATAATTGTTAAGTTAATAATTTTGTATGGCCTTCGAATGATGTTATAAATATCCCAGTTGTCCTTGACAGAAAAAAGGTTCCCCACCCCTAGTTTAGAGCATATATTACTCATGTATTTTAATTTCTTTAAAAAAATGGAGATATTTTATTTTATTTTTTAAATATGTCTTTATTGATTTCAGAGAGAATAAGGGAGAGGGATAGAAACTCTAATGATGAGAGTCATTGATCCGCTGCCTCCTACACGCCCCCTCCTGGGGATAGAGCCCACAACCTGGGCATGTTCCCTGACTGGGAATCAAACCTCTATCTCCTGGATCCTAGGTCGATGCTCAACCGCTGAGCCATGTAGGCTGGGCGCAGATGGAGATATTTTTAAATAGACATTTTGTTTTTAAATAGTTTTAGATGCAGAAAAGTTGCTAAGAAAATTGAGAAAAATGTTGTTAAATACACCCCACCTCAGTTTCCCATGTTAACATTGCACATTAGTATGGTACACTTATTACAACTAATGAACCAATATGGATATTTTATTATTATCTAAAGTTCATATTCATTCAGAGATATAATCTTTAAATAGGATATTTGTTTTATATGTTCACTGCATAGTCCAATAAGATTCATTATAATCATTTAGATTCCCATTTATATCATAAGTCTGGGCAAGGTTGGGCAGTACTTATGTTCTCAAAGTGAAGTGGTAGCAGGTTTGCATTTAAATGTGAAAAATGACATAAGAATTCTTTTTTTGTTTTTTCAGAGGAAGAATCAGCATATTCCTTACAGAAATAGTAAGCTCACTCGCTTGTTAAAGGATTCCCTTGGAGGCAACTGTCAAACTATAATGATAGCTGCTATTAGTCCTTCCTCTATGAGCTACGATGACACATATAACACTCTTAAGTATGCGAATCGTGCAAAGGACATTAAATCTTCTGTAAGTGTGTTTACTCTGTTTTTGTTGTAAGGACATTAGGTGCATATTATTTTTATAATTCTAACAAAATTAATATAGAGTTGTATTTCTACTAATGACTTAAGAAACAGTGTTAGAAATATTTTTACAGTTAGGATTAATTGAACATTAACTTAGATAATTAAACCATTTAGGATCTTTATTATACATATTTAATAGATAACAATTATTTAGTCTTTTGGGAGCTAGGGCACTTTAGTGCCTTTTTCCCCAACCTTTTCCACGTCATGGCGCATGATATTTTGATGGCGCCCAGGAATAATTGGTCAGGGCTTTAACACATTTGTGGCGGCCAAGGGTGACACTCTGCTTTAGCCTAGCACCAACACTTTCTACCTGACAACCTTGGACATGTTAGTTCATTTCTCTAAGCCTCAGTTACTTCATCTATATAATAGATATACTTTCTGCCACAGTTTATAAAGTAAATAGCCTTTTAAAAATCATTTATTTCTACATTTATGATATTGATGGAACCAGTCTGTAGCTCCAGCAAGATAATGATTTGTTAGGTCAGTATTTTTGCAAATATTTTGGGGTAATTAAAAAAATATGTAAGTCAATCATAATATATGTTTAAAAATCACAGGATCTCAGGGTTTGAAAAGACCTGGAGTTGAACTGGTATGATAACTTCTCTTCCCACTTACCCTTCTGCTACTCTCATTGAATGAACATGAGTGCATTATTGGCCCCTTAGAGAAATGTTCATATACTATTTATATAAATAGTTGCTAAAAGTTGTAGAATATGGATATACAAAGGTTTTTTACACTTTTTTCATGTAGTCCTCACACCAACCCATTGTGGAAGGCGTTTTTAGCTCTACTTTACAGTTGAGGGAGCCCATGCTCAGTTATAAGTACTGAATTCTATGTCATTTAAGTGAGAGGTGAGCAGGACCTCAAAACCAAGTATTTGGACTTCTATGTTTAATGTTCTCTCCACTAGTCCATAGCTGCCAAGGGGCCCATACTATATATAAAGGATAAAATGTAATAACTCATTAAACACTAGTTGAACTTACAAATGGATGGATCTCAAAATTACCTCTGGATTTCTCAGAAGTCAAAGGAAAAAGAAAATGAATGCTTTGCTACTTCTTAAAAATATATTTTCTCAGGTGGTAATAATTTACATTATTCATGTGGTCTAGATTTTAAACATGAGTATAATTGATCATGCCTATCTCATGATTGTACTTGCCACAAATTCTGAATTCATAGAACTGAATTAATGAGCATATAATGCCATTTTGCTCATATATATATATGTGTGTGTGTGGTTATTATATAATCATAATTTCTATCTTTTAACAGTTGAAGAGCAATGTTCTTCACCTTGACAATCATATAACTCAGTATGTGAAGATCTGTAATGATCAGAAGAAAGAGGTATGTCTACTCTACTTTGTTATACTAATACCCCTCAGTTTCTCATTTATGGGACTCTGCAGTCTTTATTGTCAAAAAATTTGGCATGTTTTTCTATTACATTTGAATCCAGCTTGTTCAATTATTTTTCATGGCTAAATTCTTCTGTGGCCATGTATAAAAGAGACAAATAATTTCTTTTGTATTTTAACTAGTGTTTCTCTCTACTAGATTTTAATGTTGAAAGAAAAACTAAAAGTCTATGAAGAACAGAAGGGCTTTATTGATGAAAATAGCAAAGCAAAGTTAATGGTTTCAAACCCTCAAAAAAAAGAAATTGAAAGGTAAAATTGATATTAAGATCTCATTTTGAAGTTTTTATTGTTTTGGAATTTTGTCAAATATTTTGTTATTTGTTATATAAGTATGTTTATATATATATATATATATATATATTCTCAACTGAATTCAGGAAGTCACTGATATTTTATATTTTACACTTTGGAGATCAATTAATTTTAGTTGTAATTATACAGATAGTGAGAACTAGAACTTAGGTATAATATGGAGAAGGTAACGCCACTTATGCCACCTGTGAAATTAGTTTTTAGTGGGTTCTTATTTTTCTTCTCAGTTGTCTTAGTCCATTCGAGCTACTATAACAAAATGCCACAGATCGGGTGGCTTATAACAAAAATATATATATATTGAAGGCTAGAAGTCCAAGATCAGGGTGCCAGCATGGTTGGGTGCTGGCCTTCTTACAAGTTGTTTACTACTTGAATCTTCACGTGGCCAGAAGAGAGGGAGGGCACTAATCCCATCCACAGGCTCTCTGCCCTCAAGACCTAATCACCTTCCAAAGGCCTCACCTCAAGTGTTAGGTTTCAAAATAAATTTCGGGGGACACATTCAGGTGAAAGGAAGAGTAATCAACAGTCACCTCAACTTAGTTTCAGGTACAACACCTTTTTAAAATTGGATTTGTATATTGAATTTACATAAAATACCCTTGATTAGAAAAAATATATATTTTTTTCTGCCTCAATTGACCCCAGATGTTAATTAAGATAAGTACCTCTAATGATTATAAATAACACTTTATTTTTGTAGATGGCTTTATAGTTTTTAATGAACTTTAGGGCCATATTAATTTCATCTGACCATTACAACTACCCTTTGAAATTTGAAGTGGGGTATTATTTTCTCATTGGCAGATAAGAGTAAGAACTATAAAAATCATCTCTTTCAAATCTTAATCCTTTTGCTCCCTTACTATACTATTTCTCAAATATCATAAGAATTAAACAGTTATTTCTATCAATGACAATGAATCTGTTTTTCATATAGCATAGGTAGTCTATATATTGTTATAGTATAAGAGCTCTGTTCAAACGAGATTTTCTCAAGTGTTTAAATTATTTTCTGTTAATGCAGATAACAACCCATTGTAAAAATAAAATTGTTATATTAGCCTTATGATATTTTTTGTTATATCACATCAATTTTGTAGTATCTTTTAAAAAATAAGTAAAAGTGATTCCTCATTATTCACTTAGTCTTATCAAAGAAAGCTTTTAACTGATATATTAGTAGTAATTTGGTTATTATTTTATTTGTTAATCAAATGTGGGATTGTTCCTCATGCAACCAGTTATGTTGATGCAAGTTTCTTGAAAATTAAAGAAGTCACCAACTGCTCAGATTTAGTCATTGCTTGCATGGAATTGCTTAGCACTACTTAACCGGATCTGGTTACCACTTAACACCTTACGAATAGTAGAGTTCTAGAGCTGATGGCTTGCGATTGTAGAACCTTTCCTTCTGTTAAAATGACTCAGGAGGGAGATGGCCTGAGCTATGAAATAAGCATTTATTTGGGTATTTTTCACATTTCAACCTGACTTAACCAACAATAAAAATTTTGAATTTTAAATCATGCAACATGTTAAATAATTTACTTGTACTTATAAAGAAGGTAATGATAGAATGATATAGTCTATCGCCTTTGCCATTCTTCCCTCAAAAGTAACTATCTCCTGAAAGAAATTTGTGAAGTAACTTTCATCATATCAATCACACTGTTACATAGAACTTTTTCAATGTCATGAATTTGAAAAGTGTCTTTTAAAAAAAGTAACATATTGCCCTAGCTGGTTTTTGCTCCGTGGGTAGAGGGTAAGCCTAAAAATTGAAGGGTCCTGGGCTTGATTCCGGCTAAGGGCACGTACCTTGGCTGCAGGCTCAATCCCCAGCCCATTGATACATCTTTCTCACATCGATGTTTCTCTCTCTCTCTCTTTCTCTGTCTCTCTCTTTCTCTCTCTCTCCCTTCCACTCTTTCTGCAAAGCAACAGAAAGAAAAAAATAGATCCTTAGGTGAGGATTAAAAAAAATAAATTAAAAAAGTAACATGTTAATGAAGTTTAGATAGATAAAGGGAAGAATATGCAGTATTTAATGTTCCTCAAAGTTATTTGGAAAGATAATATTCAAAAAGGAAATAGTTGTTCTGTATGCAGAGTAATTATAAAACTTCACCATGACTATACCAAGAAAATTCTGTAAGTTTCATGCTCATCATATATCATCTAAAATTAACAAAGATTTTTGTTTTCTAGTTACTTAAATGTATTAAATAACTTTTAAAATGATAGTTTGTGGGGGGTTAAGGAGCTCTCTAGCAACCTTTGATACTAATTCCCTTCCTTTCATCCTAATCACTAAACACCGCTAATGGAAATAAGTCTGCACCGCAACATTACAAAATTGACAAATATTTAACTATGTCCTTGTATAAAATGTTAAAGAAAAACTAAGAAATTATCTTTGGCTTTAACCTAAAGATAACTTACCAATTCATTTACTGGCATTAGCGTTGTTGTAATATAATACAACGAAATTGCAATGTCTGTATATACTTCCTATAAAATATTTATCAGTTTGACAGAACAGCAGTAAAGTCAATTATTGTGGTTTATATTCATTCCCAACAGAGTTTCATTAAGAGCTACTGACGTAAATTGGCAGTGTTTTTACCACAGATCTTTACAAATATATATAAAATTTGGCCAAAGAACATTTATTTTTAAGTGCACATACTTTGTTACAGTTTTATTTTAAAGGCTTCACAGTTAATTTTTCTTTGAGAGCTTTGCCTGTATGTGATTATTTGTACTGTTTATACTATTGCTGTAGCTCAGAGCTGATCTACGATGTAACAGTGTGAATATGTTTTTATAAAATTACAGTATTGCTGTGACAAATATCCTGTTGACCCAGAGGATGTGGGACTGCAGGGTCATTGTAGGGCTTTCAGAGGAGTTTTTCAGCTTGAGTTCTTTATGCATTTGGAGGAGGTATGGGTCAAACTCCCCAACTTTGATTCTCTAAATTTACATTGCCCTTTTAAGGAAACACTAGAGTGGCTTTTCTAGGTTTACCACATTGTAAACTTGGATGTGTTGGGTCATGGCCAGTGTCACTGATTCTTAGCCAGGCTGTAGGGGGTCCCTAACCTTATGGTGTGTTTTCACTCTAACAAGTTCTGAAGTGAAAACCTGGCTATCTCACTTTCCCTAGGGGGCAATGGGGGCACCATATGATTATGCCACCCACTGCTTATTTCTTCACAGTAAGCCAAAACCAAAACAACACACAGTACTGTGTTGCTTTTAGGGCCTTATGAATTGGGATAGTACAGGTCCAGATTATCACACTTTTCCTACAAATAAATATTTTATTTTTGTTAAGCAAAATACAGTGTATGACTAATAACAGAGGCCTTATAATACTTATATCTTTAACAACATGAATTTTCTTAAAGGAGAGAAAACCAGGATAGTAAAAATAGTTAATAACCTTTTCCAAACATTTTTGTCATTTAATAGAAAACATTCACTTTAACCAATTTGCCATTTATCATCGCGTCTCATTCTGAGTGTTATATCTTTTGTTCATGAATTTCATTAAGTAAACTCTCATCTAGCACAAAATTAGTGGGATTCTCTAATGTGTTTTATTGTTTGTAGATTTCAAGAAATTCTAAACTGCTTGTTCCAGAATCGAGAAGAGATTAGGCAAGAATATCTGAAGTTGGAAATGTTACTTAAAGAAAATGAACTTAAGTCATTTTATCAACAACAGTGCCATAAACAAATAGAAATGATGTGCTCTGAAGACAAAGTAGAAAAGGTATTTAACAACTTTTAATTTAAATTTTAGACAATGTAAAAACATGGGAACTTCCTATTCTAGAAATTTGATAGGCAGTGTTACTGAATCGCCCATTCTCTACAACCACCTGGAAGTTCTGGAGGAAGTGCAGCAAACATTGTTCTAAAGACATAGTTAAATGTACAGGAAAGAAAATCAGTGGCAGCTTGCTTCTATAAGGGATGAAGAAATGCCTAACATGAATGAAGTTAAAACAAGGAGAGTTGAGTACCAAAGGTGGTACAGCGGGTGCAGTCTACCCCAGATGCAGGCAATAGTTTACAACTAGACCAATGGCAGATTTTTTTCCCAGGGAAGAATATTTTATCACTGACATTGTTAGAATTTCCATGGTGTGATGCTAAAAACAGCAGACCAACTTTTAGTTGATTTTATTTAATGCAGTAGTACTCTGCCCTCCCTCCTCACACACAAACCACTTTTACTACCTTGTCTTTGATATACACTACTTAGGTAATGGACACAAGGGAGACAGGGAGTTAGAAATGACAGTCACAACATAGAGCTGGGAACATGAGAGACTTGCACCCTTCATATTGAAAGTACACCGGGAAAAAATATCTTACCAACTAGCAGAAGAAGACAAGGAACCAAGCCTGGGATACGGAAAAAAAGTGTCATTGGAAGACTTTCACTATAGATATACTTTTCAGAGAATTTGAGATTTTAATTTTTACAGTCCTTGTGTTTTCTTTAGCAAATTTCTAAGGTGAGAAATTAGCATAGAAAATGGTATCAGACCAGTGATAATCTATGGGAAACTGGGCAGAAGCAATGCAAAATGAGCCTCATGAAACAGACCCTCAACTCAAACTACCAATGAGAACTTACTGTCCAAAATTCCAAACATATGGTGGAACATTCTGTCATAAGCATATCAGCAGACTTAGCAAATATAACAGAATACCCTAAATCAGATAATAGAGCAATCTGACAAAAACTATAAATGAGGTCATCAAAAATAATTAATAATTGAACCAAAGATAAAAAACATTCATGTTGGAAGAAGAAAACAAAATGAAATGAAATGAAATGCCAAAAAAAATGAAATGCCAAGAAATTAAAGATCTATTTAATGAAATTTTTAAAATTTGCTTTATAGATACAATACAATGTTTTAAGCACTTTATACTAACTCATTTAATTCTCAGAAAATTTTAGGAAATACATTATATTATCCTCACAATTAAGGCACAATTAAGGAAACAAGGCACATAGAATTCATTTTGCCCAAGGTCACAGAGCTCATAGGTGTCAGAGCTATGATAAGAACTCAAGAAAGCTGATTCCAGAGCCTGTGCTCTTATCCCTATGCTTTTTGCATGTTAGATATAGCTAAAGAGAGAATTACGGAACTGGGAGATCTGAGGAAATCACAAGATAAAAAGATAGCAAATGTGAACAAAAGGGTAGACAAAAATTTCATGCATTTATCTAATAGATATTCTGAAGTAGATATATTAGTGCAAAAGGAGAAACTAATATGTAAAATTTAAGGCTCAGAATTTTTTAGGACTAGTAAGTTGTAAATTCAAGTAACATAAGTTCTAAGCATGATAAAAATAAAATTGTATACCTGGACGTGTGCAGAGCCAGGTCACCAAAGATCAGAAAAATAAGCATTTTGAAAATACTAGATAATTACTTGCCTCAGTTTTAGTGTTCATTGAGGATCAGGTTAATTTTATTTTTTATGTATGTATGTAATTTAATTACATAGCTATTGTATGAAATACATTCATATATTACTTATTAAAAAACTTCCTCTTATAACTTCCAAGTCCTGTTAGACCACCACCCCAAGTGTGTTTTCTTCTTTTTTTACCTTCCCAGAAATAACAATTTTATATAAAATTTTTTACATTTTTTAATGTCTGAAAGCTGTCAAATTTTAAACAGTGCTTTAAAAAACTAGTATTTCAGTTTTGTCTCAGCCTATATAATAGTAAAGATGTGATATACTAAGAAATTAATCATGAAATATTTATCAGTGTATCCTTAGTACCAGTTTATCACCTGTTAAACTATGTTACCAAAATTAGTAATTTATTTACCGAGTATACATTTATTATTATCTTATTAAAAATGCCTTTTTTTTAAAACCAATTTTTCAGTGTATGACAGACATTCAAAAAAACTCTTGATGGTTTCAAAACCATCAAGTTGTATACAGTATTGAAACCATCACCGCAGTCTGTGCCGTAAGACTATACATTGCCTACTAAAGCTTCCTCCCATCCTCTTTATAATTACTAGTATTATTTTAATAACAATTAACATAAGATCTATCCTCTTAGCAATTTTTAAGTATACAACAATAGAATATCATTTAGCTTTAAAAAAAAATAAATAGAGGAGGAAAATCCTGCCATTTGTAACAACATAGATGAACCTGTAGGACATGCTAAGTGAAATAGGCCAGACACAGAAGGACATAGTCTACCTGATACCATTTATATGAAAAATTTAAAATAGTCCAGCTCAGAAGTAGAGAGTAGAATGGTGGTTGCCAGATGCTGTGGGGAAGGTGAAACCAGAGTACAGAGGGTACAAAGTTTCACTTGTGCAGGACAAGCTTGCCCGAGAGATGGACTACCGTACATAGTGTCTATTTTCCGTAGTCAATAATATACTGAATACAGAAAACTTATTTGTAATTTTGTTTTTCAAAGTGCATTTAAAATGTTGCTCAGGTCCTTTAAAGGCAAAAGAAAACTGAATTTATATCTTTGTTTGAGATTTGTTAGTGTATGTGTACTTTAACTTTCTTGAACTGCAAAATGCTTGCCAGTATTTTTGATAGCCTTATGACTTCCAAATAACAGAATATCTCATATGATTAATATATCAATCTATTGTTATGAACCCCTTTCAGGTGTCTGCTAAGTGGAACTCTCAAATAGTGCTATATTATATAATCTAAAAATTGTATACTTTATCTCAGTTATTTGCACTTATAGATTAATTTTCAGCAGGGATAATAATTCTTTTTGATTTTGTGTAGGTATCCATTAAATGTCAATTATCCAAAAGTGTAATTATCTGATTTATTTCTTGAAAGAAAGAAAAAGGCAAATTCAATCATGGGAATCTGATTCTGACTTAGTGTCTTAACCTTTAACAACAGCTTTTATGAATACTTGTTTAAATGCAAAGCATTATACTAGCCACTATATGGAAAGAAAAGTATGAGACATTGTCTGCCCTTAAATTGCTTATAAGCTAGTTGAAGCAATAAAATAATATAAAAATAAGGCACTGATTGTCATGTAAGTAGTAATTGTGCAATAGTAAAAAAAAAAAAAAAAAAAAAACTGTTATTGAGCACTAGGTGCCAGACACTTTTCAAAGTCCTTTGCATGGGATGATTCCTGTAGTATTTTTTACAAGCCTGTGAGGTAGATCCTATATTATCACCATTTGTGAGTAACTGAAAGTGAGTTGTCTGGGTTAAATATACCTAATTGATGTGTCCGAACCAATATTAAACCCCAGCTGTGTGACCTCAGAGTCTGCCCTCTTAATCATTCTGCTATTCGCTAAGTACTATAAATGCTATAGCTACTCAAAGGAGAAAACAGTGGCTTCCAGTTGTGGTTAAGAAAGGCTGCCTGGTGAAGAAAGGAGATTTATACTGGGCCTTGCATGAGAATATCAACGGGAGAAAAAAAGATAGAAATAGTATATTCTAGGTAGGATATCAGTTTGACCAGAGCACACAGTATATTTGTGGGACAGTGTGTATGGAAGTACATAACTATACTCAAAACTTCTGTCAATTCCCAATCCCTTATCCAATGTAGATATTATTGATTGATTGCTGTACTCTTCCTCTCTATTTCTGAAGTTGCTAGAGTAGCAGCCATTATGACTGGATTGGGAATGGCACATGATATATTTGCCATATTGGAAATTATTGACAATCAATTGGAAACATAGGCTAGTGGGCCAGATTGTGGAAACTTTGGTTGCCAGGAATTTTACGATCTATTTTTGTAGTTAAAAGCCAGTGTTTGAATCAGAGGAGTAGTGCATTATTAGAGCTTAGAATCAGACTGCCATTTTTAAATCATTTGAATATTATTTAGTACAATTAACAAATTTGGTCTATTTAATTCCAAACTAATTTCAATACTGTTATTTTACTGTTTTACCCCATTGCATATTAATGTGAGTGCTTAAAAAGAGTAAGACTTGGTAGTAGTATGGGTTTGGCCCGCTTCTTTAATTTTTTTCTGTTTTCATGTTTATTCTGCTTAGTAGCCTTTTTTCAACCCACTTATCTTTTATGATTTCCTACATTTGTTCATTTCAATAACATGTTCCAATTCTTAGGAGCCTAGGTAAACCATGGAGATAAAACCTCTTAAGTTTATTGGTTATAAACTATTGAAAAACAGAAAGACATCTTGAAGCTGAGTTTATGTGTGTTTGTGTGTATGTTTTATTTGTTTTCACACACAGCAGTGTCACCGTTTAGTCTTACTAAACTGCTTGCTCAGGTAAGGACTTTTATATCTCTCTTGGACCCTCTCCAAAAGAGATTTATTATCAGCATTGCTAAACGAATCTCATAACATTGATTCAGCTGTAAGTTGTTCTAGAGTGTGGACTCTGAGATTAGTGTTAAAGTGAAGCTCTGGGTAATTTTATGGCCATGTCAAGATAATCTGCATTTTATGTTTAGTGAAATAGTGACTTTACCATGTTGGTCAGTCATCTTTTTGCACAAAGCAGCAGTAACACCTAAATATTAGAATTATAAATTCACGCCCAAGACCTTCTGTGGTAATTCTGGGGATTTTGTTAATAAAATATGTAAAGCTCTTTGAAACCTAACAGGAAATGTTTTACTTTATAATGTCAGGGTTTAACATGTGTATTTTACAATTTATTCCCAAACAGTTGCTCTTTAGGTCAAAACAGTGATTCTATAGGAGGGTCCTGATGGAAATATCCCCACAGAAAACCACCATAGAGGATGAACAAGAGAAATCACAACTCAAAAACATACTTTTTAGGGTGTTTCAGTATTAAATATTGACTGCCATCAGTCCCACAGATCATTTTCTGCCCTGATTTCTAAGAGTACCTACAACATTTATCATTGTTAAAGCAAAATAAAGACAATTTGATTTAACAGCCTTCCTTCAGGCAGGTACAGTACTTTTGTTCATTTTCCAGATGAGGTAACTGAGTACCCGCTGAAAGTGACTGGCCTGAGCTTTCAAACCTGCTAATTGGCAGAAGAAAGTCAAGAGCCACATATCCTACTTCTGTTATAGCAGCAGCTCCAAACCTTTTAGCTTTCAGCACCCCTTTCTGCTTTAAAGAAATTGTTTAGGGCCTCAAAGAGCTTTTGTTTATGGGGGTTCCATCTACCAATATTTCCATATTAGAAATTTAAACTCAGATTTACAAAAATACATGATTATTTTTAAATTGTCTTAATTAACTTAAAAGTAGTTGAACCCATTGCATGATAACATAAGTAACACTTTACTGAAAAATAACTGAGTATGTTTTCTAAAACAAACAAAAAGAGACAATGAGAAGAGGGACATTCTTTTGCATTTTTGCAAATCTCCTTAGTTCCTTGCTTTTCCCAAAAATGTCAATACTTCTTTTATTAAAAGTAAAAAGGAGGAAGAAATTATCCCCTAAAGAGAGTAAGGTCTTTGACCAAGTTCTAAGGCAGTTCCTGCTCTTTTTTTTTCATTCATGTAGTTCTCTACTTCCAAAATCAGCTGCAGGAACATACTGTAATCCATGGGGATCTATTGTCTAGGGTCCAGCCATCATATTTGATAATTATCGACTTCGGTGTCTTTTTGGCAAATAGCCCGACAGGTCAAGCTACTCTAGCCCACAGTTCCTATGAAAGTGTACAAGACCCTTGGGGTAAGAAACCGAAGGGCCAGTTTTGCCCTCAATTCAGGCCTAGATAAAACACCGAAAATACTTGGAATATCCATTATGCATCAGGCAAGATCAGATCTTTATGACCACCCTGATACAAGCCCCAGTTTCTGCACCAGCCAACCTAAAGGCCTTATTGACAAAACCAGACAGTAGAACACTACTTCTTTACATCTTTCAAACTGGAGCAAAGACAAGAACAGGACCTGCATCTATTTTAATTTTGAGTGGGAAAATCATGGGACTTATCAGACCTTGTATGGAATTTTCAAATGAAACATTTGAAAGAATATATTTTAGCACACACACACGTTATTTATAGTCTTCAATTTGGCCATTGTGTTTCTTAAAGCCATAAACTCTCAACATGGAATTTTATGAAATGACTCACAACTCAATTTTTCTTTTCCTGCAAGCAGTAGTATTGTGAGATTTCAAAGAGGGAATAGCTTTAAGTACAAAAGTATAGCCTTACTTAATAGAGTGCAATAGCACACTTATGAGAAAATATACTACTTTACCAATACCACATGCATCTGATATCCTAACAATGAGGTAAACTTAAATGCATTGTTTTTCAGGCTACTTGCAAACGAGATCACAGACTTGCAGTGTTGAAAACTCGTCGCTGCTACCTACAGAAGAAAAGGGAGGAGGAATTGAAGCAATTTGATGAGAATACTAATTGGCTCCATCGTGTGGAAACTGAAATGAGACTCTTAGGTCAAAATGGTGATATTCCAAAGGTACAGACATGTTTTACGGGCATACCTCAGAGATATATTGTGGGTTCATTTTCACACCACTGCAGTTAAGCAAATATCGCAGTGAAGCAAGTCACAAATTTTTCCCAGTGCATATAAAAATTATGTTGACGCTATACGATAGTTTATTGTGTGCAACAGCATTATATATACATATTTAAAAAAAGGTTATACCTTCATTTAAAAGTACTTTATTGCAAAAAAATGCTAACCATCATCTGAGCCCTCATTGAGTCATAATCTTTTTGCTGGTGGAGAGTATTATCTCAATGTTGATGAAAATTCAGTATCTGCAAAGCACAATAGAATGAAATATTTGGTTTATTTTGTGAGAACTGAGCTCTTTGAACTCATTGTCTTTGTTCTTGAGTAGATACCTGTCATAAGACAACTATTACTCCGTCTCTCTTAGATATAATTGACTAATTTTACTGTTTTTTAACTGAATATACCTCCTGCCTTGCTAATTACCTGCTAGATTTGCCTTTTCTGTATTTTCAGAAAAGTAGAGTTACCTTCAAATGTTGTTGTTCTTAAGTGATTGCATCATTTTATGAGGTAGTTCTTGAGTTAGAAAAAAGTAATTTTATTTCAAACTGTACTTGAGGAATAATCATCTAGGTAATTTTAGTTCGTTTTAATACTTGATATTTTGTGCAAAATAATAAATTTTAAATGTGGTCACCATTACTTGTACTATGGCTAAAGAAAGCTAATTTGAAAGCTGTATGCACATGTGTATGTGCTAAACTGAAGATATTCTACCTAGAGAGCAAAAGGTTATATTTATAAAATGTAGTGATGAGTAATGATGATCAATGGCTGAATCAGGTAAAAATTATGTGCAGCCACAAATCTGACTTTAATGTCTTATACTTAGGGCTACATTTTGCTCCCTTACAATAATAAGTCTTGGGAATATGCAGTTCATTCCTAATACAGTACCTCCAAAATACCATTAGTGTCACCATTATACTCGTCATTTCATAGTTGTGATATCACTATTCCGTCTTTAATCTCAAGTTCAGACTTAGGCCAGAAGAGGAAAGGAAGAAAGCTTGAGGGATATCTGTATTGGGAGAGCAAGTTTTTTTCAAAAATTCATAATAGACATATCTTAATAGCTCGAATTGTCACATGGCTGGTTATCCCTAGATCCAAGGGTACCTGGAGAGGTGAGTGTTTTTGCTGGATACGTTATCCACATTGTTACCCAGAACAAAATTAGAGTTCTCTTAATAAAAGAAGGGGTAAATAAATGTGGAATAAGCAACTAGCAGAAAACTGCTACAGAGTAATTAATTTTTATTCAGATACCTAATAGTTTAAAAGAACTTCTTTACGTGTTTTTTAATCCTTGCCTGAGGATATGTTTATTGATTTTAGAGAGAGAGGGAAAGGGAGGGGGAGAAAGAGAGAGGGAAACATCAATCAGTTGCCTCTCATATGTTCCCTGACCAGGAATGAAGCCCACAACTTTTTGCTGTATGGGACAATGCTCCAGCCAATTGAGCCATTGGACCAGGACCTTCACACTCTTTTTTTTTTAAAGGAGACGCAACTTTACTTTGATGTTGCTCTTCTGAAATTCTATACCATGTATCAGCTAATTGGTATCTAATCCTAGAATCTTCAAATTTCCAGAAGAGCACTAGACTGAAAATGAATACAGTGAAATAAAGTTTAAAATATTCAGTAACAAATGGATGCAGCTAGAGATCATTGGTATTCAGATAAATTCAAAGATACTAGCCAATGCACTATGACCAGAAAAATTGATAGCAATAGCTGTAAATGCCTTTTTTTTTTAGCATTAAAGCTCAGACTAGAGATAGAGGAGACCAGCAAGGTTAGTCAGTGATGACATTGAAAGGAGCAGCAAGCAGCAGACACCCTGTTTCTTAAGAAAAAAGACAAAAACAAATAGAGACTGAATAGTTCCTTGATGTAGAGATTCGTTAAAGGCCAGCCAATAACCGAATCTACACTTCAGTAATTTTAGAAGTCTTCAAAATATCTAACTGAAAGCATACCAGCCAGTTAGTTCAGTAGATTAGGAATTAAATTAATGACATTTTATAATATAACTTAATTGATAGAGTGCTTTTGAATATTCCTTCTGGAGAGAATGTAAATGTTGGAAAGAGGATAGGCTTTGGCGTTGGGTGACTTGATGGTTGTGTTGGGTACTGACTCTTAACACTCACTGTGTTTTTGGACAAGTTGTTTTACTTCGTTGTCTTACTTTCTCATCTTTAAAATATATTTAAGGCACTGTGAAATTAAATACTGTACGCAAAGGCCTAGCATTACTTAACACATAATAGATGGTTGATAAATAATAGTGTAATAATATTCTAAGTAATAATCACGTAGACATTAGTAGCCAAATAAAGGTGTATAAAGGAGCACAACAGAGTTAGCTGCTTTATAAAATTCATATTCCACTTTTCCTTCAAAACAGTAATTCTGACTTTTTGGGTCATAGATGCCTGTGAGAACCAGGTCATAGAGCAATACAGATCTTCTCTCAGATGGGACTTTGGGGAGGTCACATTCATACAGTTTTGCCTTTTTTTAAGTCATTTCATTTGATACAACATTAAGAATATCTTCTCTAGAAGAACACAGCACTTTTTTTTAATGCTATACTCATCTTAAGGTGATACTAACAGAGGTGTTTATATAACTTTAAAAGGGTAATCAAAAAAAGACAACAAAATATAGTATGGATTATGCAACAGTCTCCATCAGAGTACCCAAGCCATGTTCTGGGTAAAGCACTTCAGAGAAAACAGCCGATGTGCCTAGCCAAAGGAATGTTTCTCATTCAGTGTACAAGAGCTGTTTCTCTTGAAAAGTTAACAGATGTTGAATGTTTATAGTAGCTTTTGGTTTGTTTTACTTATTTGTAATTAGTTTCACTTATTTGTTAAAGACCATGTATATCTAAAGCAGTCTTATTCTCAAGACAATCATTGTCTAAATGATATAAAATTATAGGTATTTTGGTTAGAGTTAAATTTTTGACATTATTTTAAAATAACTGCTAGTTTGCCTTTGCTTTCCCATAGTCATCGTAAGCTCCCAATTTAAAAAACGGTATGGTATTTTTTTGAGCATTATTATTCTAATTTGTTTTTGCCTTTTGGTCTACTTAGTAGCATTTTTAAAGTTGATATTGTTTGGGTTTATTTTCGGTAAATTTAATTTTTTTAATACAGTCAAATTTAATTTTTCTAGCAATCTGTCTTTTATAACTCTCTTAAGCAGAACTTTCCACCCCTGAATATGAACCTGGATTTGATTTTTTAAGTCCTTGTGTTTTAATGCATTATTATAAGTTGGAAAAATTAAACTGTTTTCATTCTTGCCACCCTAAATTCCACTCTCAGTTCTTTTTTCTACAGCTATTTTTACAGCTAAAGTCATTACTTATTTATAAGCTATTATTTCCTATGTAAGAAAACTGAGATACAACTTTGTAAAACCACTCATTCACGGTCATACGACTCTGCACAGAGACCTAGGACTGTGACTTTCAAATTGGTACTCTTTTTTTTCTGTACCCTCCTGCATTACCTACCTCTTAACCTCCCAAATCTATGCACTTCTTTCTGTCTCCCACTTCTACTACCCTAAATCAGACTCCTGCTCCCATTAGTGTGTGGCTACATTTGGTCTTTCTGCCTTCATTCATACTACACTGTAATTAATTCTCTCTACTGAAACTAAAAGGAGCTTTCTAAAATGTAGCTCTGATCATATCACTGTTCAGTGCTTTTCTCTCTAACATAATCTCTCTATTATGATTTCCCAGGCCCAGCATGACATCTGCATACCTCAAATTATTCATATCACCTCTCATTGTGTCTTTCATTTCAGCCATTACTAATCTACTTATAGTTCTCCGAATAGGCGATGCTCTGTTTAATCATTAGTATATCAAGACAAGAAAAGACTCAAATTGTAACTTGGACTTTCAAAGATGACAAACTAGCCAAGGCCCATTGTTGACTAAAATAATCATGCAGTCAAGGCTTGCCTTTTTAAAGAAGGGTGGTCCAGAACCACAAAAGAGTAAGGTTCACAGGGGAAGCATATGAAGAAAGGACTTTTTTGTTAGAGAGAAAAGATGGAGTATTTGGCAAGTATGTTTGCACCATTAGGATGATTGGATTTCCTAACTGGAAAACACTGAAGTATAGCTCTTAATTTTATTCAGATAAATTCATCTCCATAAAGACCTTATTTTTGGCTTAAGGTTGCATTTGTGATATGGCTGAGACCATCTCTAAAGTCACCTGTCACAGGCCAGTACTCTAACTATATGACACTGACTCCTAAAGAGAGTTTACTCTAAAATACTTGTTGTAGTTCTTGAAATATAATTATGAGTTATAAGCGCCAACTCTAATCTATCTAGGACACATAGAGTGACATTGTTTTCCTGTCATAGTCTCCCTGCCACAGGCACAGGGAGTATTAAAAAAAGAAAGGGAAGAAAAAACAACCTTAAGCTTTCAGGGAATTAATGGTCAACTGCAGGTTAGGAGGAATATTGAGAAGCTAAAATGGGTTATGGGAATTGTCCCCAGGAGAGCATTTCCAGGCACAGCTCCCTTGCTTTATGGGGTTGTTGTCTCAGCCCCTCACTTCCTTTCATTTTATTGACTAAAATTTTCCCAATTAAAGATTTCGAGAATGCTATTGTATTATTACCAGTATTTCACTGTGACCACTTAGCTGACATTTTTCATACTCAAGGTATAGGAAGCTTGAGTAAAGATAAGTAATTTTAGGGGATAGATTGGAGAGCACTTGGGCCTACATACAGGAAGCTTAGGAAAATGGGAGCCTACAAAAGGCTTTTTCACATGTTTGCTGTAAGATGAAGCTTATACCAAGATTGAGTTAAAGCAAGAAATTGTTATTACATGCGTCACCAGACACTGGGGGCAATAACACTGAACTAGTTCGACACAGCCCCTGTCCTGGCGGTGAACCTCACAGTTTAGTATAGACAGAAACTGTATAGACAGTTACTGATCAGTGCTGTGACAGAGACTATTGGAGTTGGAGAGAGCCCATCTTTAGATATAATGCTCAAGGAAAGCCCCCATGAAGAAGTGACATTTAAGCAAAAACTTTTCATATTCATGTATTTCCACAGTCTTATGAACAAGTTGGATAGACCAAGAAACTGTCACCATAATAACATTTGTTATGAGTTTCTAACCTGTTTCTGAGGAAACTTGAAACTATCTTACTTGTAAGTTATAGACACTTATACCAGAGTGCTTATTTTCAAACTGTTTTCACGGATATCATTGCATATGTAAAAAAAATTAAATCTCTTCACCCTGGCCAGTTTGGTTCAGTTGGTTGGAGCATTGTCCAGTACACCAAGGGGTAGTGGGTTTGAGTACCAGTTGGGGCACATACCCAGGTTGTGGGTTCAATCCCTGGCCCAGGAGGCAGCCAATCAATGTTTCTTTCTCTCTTTCTCTCTCTCCCCCCTCTGCTCTCTCTCAAATCAATTTTTTTTTAAATTAAAAAAATTAAATCTGTTGACATCAATATAAAATAAGTTTTATTAAAGTTGATTCAAGTTTTACATTCTTAAAGGAATCTGATGTGTAGTTTACATTGTTTTCCTCAGGAACTCAATCAAGATCTGCATTGTCACCATTTGCACCTCCAGAACAACGATTTGAAAGCACAGATTAAACATATGATGGATCTAGCTTGTCTTCAAGAACAGCAACATAGGCGAACTGAGGCGTGAGTATATGTATTCACTTATTCTACACATTTTAACACTGTATACCTAAGGAACTGGAAGCATAGAAGTTTACTTTTACAAGCCAGAAAACTGAGTTTTATCTGGTACAGGATACATTATTTTTAAGTGTCTGCCAGCATCAGAAAGCATACAGAGTTAGAAAGCATTGAGAAAGTATTAAAGGTGTGGTTCTTCTCAAACTAATTTTTATAGTGCTTTATAGTATTGAAAGCATTTTTAAAATTATTTTCTGTAACATATGTAATACAAAATTTCAAAGATATCTATATTGTGAAAAGGAATCTGTTTCTACCTGTCTTTGAGCTATCCACTTCCCTTCTTAGAAGCACTCACTTTTAATACTAACTAAATATTTAAGTAGGCAGTTTTTAAGCATTTATAATTCCAAATGATATTGTGCTATCATTAAAATGTAGTTACTAAAAATGTATATATTTTACATCAAGTATCCAATTTTTATGTGATGGTGTAGTAGCTCTTTCATGCTCTCTCTACTAGCTCATTAGTAACATCATTTGAGTCTATAGAAACATTATGGTAAAAAAGTACAGCAATCTTTATTTTTGTTACTTTGGATATGTTGGTTACCTCCTTAGGTGTCACTTTCATGCTCTGGAAACATGAGAAATTTGTTTCTCTTAGGGCTTTTCTTTCCAGGTCTGAAAATGATGAGAACCCTGTTAAAATCCAAGGTTCAAGGTGCCAGCAAAGGGCCACCCTTGCTAGCAAGCCTTTCTAATGATAACAGGTGACTCTTCTCTGCACAGTGCCTGATTAGCATAGGCATTCAATAAATAACTGTTTTTATTGACTTTCTGATTAATGGCTTTTTCCTATAATTTCCTACTTGACTTAAATGAAGTACTCCCCATCCTCACCAAAATGAAAAGCGTCACAGACTATTTATACTGCTGTCTAAATATCTAAGACTCCAGAGTAATAAAGTGATTATTTCCTTCTCTGTTAAAATCAGTGCCTCTTCTTTTCCCACTGACCTTTTTATACTTCCAATGATTCTATTCTCCTGGATGCTGTAAGTCAACTCAAACACCAGGACTGAATCATTTCAAGATTACTCATGTTGTTTGACGACATCTTCCTTGATTGAAAAGTTAGGAACCATTGATTGAGTGTATAAATTTATAACTATTTAGCTGTGGCATTTCAGTGAGCACTTACGTGGAGGTCTGATACATAAAAAGATACATTCAGTACTGCTCCGATTAACAGCAATAGGGAAGGTTTTTAATCAGACTATTAACAGCAATAGGTAAGGTTTTTAATCAGAGCCAAGAATCTAGTGTCCCATCTATTTCCCATACCCACCATTCTTGTCCATAACTTTCCTCCTTGAAACCCCTTGGAATAGCTTTGAAAGTGTTCGCTTGAGCTTATGAAGAGCTAACTGAAAGGAAATTGAGTTTCATATTTTTGTTGTTATTTTTTAAATGTTATATACTTAAAATGATTTTCATCATTTGACAGAGTATTAATTGTTCATTTTATACAGGGAGTCATTTAAATGATCTGCTAGTACTTTGGATGTTACATAGAACTTTAATAATGTATTTAAAATTTAGTGTTTATCTCTCCTTTCTTGTCACCTTCTGTGTGTAGAGTATTGAATGCTTTACTTCCAACCCTAAGAAAACAGTACTGTGCATTAAAAGAAGCTGGCCTATCAAGTGCTGCCTTAGAGTCTGACTTCAAGGAGATTGAACATTTGGTCGAGAGGAAAAAAGTGGTTGTTTGGGCTGACCAAACTACTGAGCCGACCACGCAGAACGATCCACCAGGGGCTTCTGTGTTTATGACCTTTCCACAACTCGCACCACTTCAGACTACTCCTTGTAAGTACTGCTTTTATTTTTTTATGCAAATAATAACATTTCTGAAATGTGGCTTCCTCCTTTATATATCAATCTACAGAACAGTTAATTTTTTCATAGGTTTGGCTATTTTGTGAGAATTAATGGGGCAGTTAGCTTCAGAATTGTTTCAGTTAACCAGTGTCTTTCACAGATCTAAGAGCAAGTATGCTTGATGTCCTAAGGATCTCTAGCACTAAAACTTTTAAGTTATTTCACCCATTTTTGATGGACTAATTTTACTTCTTTAAAATTTAACATCTGTTAAAGAATGAAAATTATAATTAAAGCTATCATATTTTTTAATACATAATAAACTGTTCTTAAGATCTAAAGGTAGAGAATTTACTGTTTTTCTGTTGGCAGATCACCTGATATCTCACCTCATAAGTGTGCATGGAACATTTTTAAACAAAGCTTTCACTTCATCCACAAGTTTTGATACATAGTATTTTTCGTTATTATTTAGTTAAAAGTATTTTCTGATTTCTGTTATTAATTTCTTCTTCAACCCATGTAGCATTTTTTAATATCAAAAAGCTGTGGCAAATTCCAGCCTAGTTGAGGGTTACTGATTTCTAGCTTAATTGAACTGTATTTAGAGAAAATATTTATATGATTTTAATCCTTTGAAGTTTATGGATACATGCTTTATGCCCAGCATGTAGTTAGCTTGTATAAATGTTTTAAGTATGCTTTTAAGAAATATATATTTTGTAGGTATTAGTTGCAATATTCTATATAAGTCAGTTAGGTCAAACTGGTTGTGTTCTTCAAATCTTATTCTTACTGATTTATGTTCTTAATTTATACTAAGGAGCCTTATTAAAATTCTTTCTATTACTCTGGATTTTTCTATTTTGTATGAGTTTTCTATTGCTGCACTAACAAATTAACATAAACGTATCAACTCTATTATCTCAGTTCTGTAGGCCAGCAGTCCAGCAGGTTCAGTGGGTTAATCTGCTCAGAGCTTCACAAGGCCAGAATCAAGGTGTGAACCCAACCCTCTGAGTCTCTTATTTGGAGGTTCTAGGGGAAGACTTGCTGCTAGGCTTATTCTGATAGTTAGCAGAATTCACTTCTATGTGGCCGTAGGACTGAGATCTGTGTTTTCTTGTTGGCTGTCGGCCAGGGGTCATTCTAAGTTTCTAGGGATCACTCATTTTCCCTCGCACATGGTCCCCTACATCACTTCATCTCCTAGTTAACAAAGGCAGGTCAAATCATTTTCATGCTTTGAATATCTCTGACTTTCCCTTCTGCCTCATGTCTACTGCCTACAGTTAGAGAAAGTTATCTGCTTTAACTGCTCATATAATTAGATTGAGCCCACTGGATAATCTAAGACAGTGATTTTCAACCTTTTTCATCTCATGGCACACACAAACTAATTACTAAAATTCTGAAGTATGCCAAAAAATATATTTTTTGCCTATCTGACCACAAGAAACAAACAAACAAATAAAACATATAGTTTTAATTCATTCACACTGGATGGCTGCTGTCATTTTTTTTATTTGACAGTCTAAGGGAAAAGAGGCCAGTGTCCCTGACTAAATAGTCAAGTATTGCATGCTTTAAAAATTCTTGAGGCACACCAGTTGAAAACCAAAGCTCTAGGGTAATCTCCCTATTTTAAAATTCTGGAAAAGGTGGTAATACAATTTCAGAAAGTGAAATCATGTTTCTAAGGTTAAGAATCCCTTTTATTGCCCCTAAGAATAATACTGTGCACAGAATGGGTGCTTAAATTTTGGGTTAAAAAATGTAACTGGTAAACTTTGTGCTTTTCTTCAAAGCTTAAGTATAAAATTGTTTTTTAAAAAGCTTTAAAAAATTAAAGGATATGTTTTATACTAAAAGAAAAAATAAAATTCCACAATGTTAATCACATCTGCAAAAATCCCTTTTGCTATTCAATGTAACATATGTGCAGGTTTCCGGGGCTCAGCCATGGACCTCTTTTAGGGGGAGTGGGTGTCCTGCCTATCATACATTATTACCCTGTTTAGTTCTGTCAGTCTTTGCTTTCTTTTATTGAAATTATATTTTTACATCTGTATATTTCAGAATTCTTACATCTTTTTATTATAAGATACCCTTATTCTAGTAATATTTTTTAACTTTACTTTGTTTAATATTAATACAGCTATACCACTTTCCTTTTGCCTAGTGTTTTCATGTTTATCTTTTTTCCAATTTTTTCACAGTAAACCTTTCTGTATATTTATTTCAAATGTGTCTCTTATAAACAGCACATAATTGAGTTTTGGTTTTTTGTTCTGTTTATCAGTTTTTATATTTTAGTTAATGTATTTAATGAATTTATTGATAGTTGAATTTAAATCTACCATCTTGTGACTTGCTTTATAATTGTCCTGCTTATTCTAAATTGCTTTCTTTTGAATTTTCCTTTGACATGATGGAGTAATATTTAATATCCCATTTTTTCACCTCTTTGAGTTTGGAAGCTCTGTACACTGTTTATATTCTTTTAGTAGTTATCCTTTGGGTAACATGTATCCTTGCTTTATCCAAGTCTGTTTATCAAAGTAACTATTTGTTACTTCCACACTCAGCCAGTGCTAGAAACTTAAAATTCTTTAACACCTTTAACCCCTCTTTTGACATATATAACATTGTTCAAATATACTTACTTTTCCTTTGTATATTAAACCTATAGGATATTAGTTTTATTGCCTATACAGTCAATGTTCATATTTACTTTTTTTGTTCTACATCTTTTCAGCATCTCTATATTCATCCAAGACAGTTTTTCTTTCATCTAAGAAACCTTTTGCATTTTCTTTATAGTGGGTATGCTGATGATGAATTTTCTTAATTTTTATGCATCTGAAAATGTATTTATTTTACTTTTCTTTCTTGAAGACTGTTTTTCTGGGTATAGAATTCTAGTTTAGCATTCTTTTCTTTTAGCACTTAAAAAAATTATTTTCTGGCTTTTGTTGTTGCTATTGAAGTCAACTTTCATTCTAAGTGTTTCTCCCTTGAATGCAGTCTGACTTCTGGAGCCCTAAAATATTTTCTCTTTGTCTTTGGGTTTTAGTAGTTTTGCCATATTGTGCCTATGTAATTTTATTTCTACTTCTCTTACTTAGGTTCATAGAAGTTTCTGAATTTGTGTCTGGGTTATCTTTCATTAGTTTTCTAAAGCTTTTAACCATTATATCTTCAAATATTATTTCTGCCACTTTTACTCTCTCCTCTACTTCTGGGACTTCAGTTTTATTGTACAGTAACTTCCCATTGTCTTATCTCTGCCTTTTACTCTCTCCTGCTTTTCATTGTTTTTTCTCTCACTGGAAATTTTTTTTTTTTACAAATTTTATAGTTTACTTTTCAGCTGTGTCAAATGGTTCTTAAAACCATTACTAATTTCAGTTACAGTCTGTGTCTAAGAAGTCAGAAATCCGAACACTCTGGGTGTGTTTCTGTTGTCTCTTTCTGCTGGTTTTCATGGTTTTATTTCTTTAAATGCATGCTAATTTTTGTTTATCAGACATGTATTTGCAGAATTGTTTATAGAAATACTTTGAATCTTCTGATAATAATGTCTTCCTTCAGGGAGGATTACATTTGCTTCTTCCAGGCTCCTGATGGCATTAGTAATCCAAAATCACTTCAGTTTTAGAGATTGAGATCATTTGAAACTGACCTGCTGCTTCTGCAAGGGCCTGCCTGCCCTTGATTTATTCTATAGAGTTTAGCTGTTAAGGGTACAACTCAAAGCAAGGAGGGTTTACAAACAACAACTCTTTGTGGGCCCTAAATTTCAGTTCCAGCACCCCATACCTACAAAGCTCTCAACAATGTTACTAAGCATTTCTGCCACCTTCTCCCGAATCAGCAAACAACCTCCAGGGGAAAATAGCCTCCAACTCCTCCCAACACTTGCCTATAATTCTTCACAATTCTGTTAGCTCTCCTGTGCCTTAAGCATGTGTTTTTTATATTTGTCCAGATATTTTAGTTACCTTCAGTAGGGAGGTGTTCTCAATTACCTAGGGCTCTATTATTAAGTTCCTCATATTATATTTTTACATTAAGATGACAGAGAAGTTGGATATATGTAATTTTTCTTTTATAAAGCATTAGAACTGACCTAGTTGAGATCTTTGGAAAGAAAACTTTTAAGATTTTTTTCAGATTCTTTTATACCTTTTGGACCTTGATCCTTTCCATATAATGTATTCAAGATGTTGGAGAGGAAATATGGTTTTAACACCAAGATTGAGAAATACTGACCACCTGCTATATAATAGTCATTATCCCTCATTTAAAAGTCCATATTTCATTTACAATGTAATTGCATAGACTATACTTGTCAACAGTACAACAAAACATTTATTTGGCTCTTAATTATTTTTTTTCATTGTATTTTCAAAAGGAAAGACAATTAAAATGTTACATTGTATAAATATATGTTTCCTTTTGAAAATGTATCAGAAGATCGGTTTTGTTTTATCGTTTCTTCTTAGTTTGTTGTCTTAATATTTTGTTCACATGATTTTACAGACTAACTACTTGCTTACTATGTCTTGTCTATTCCATGAATTATTGTGTTGTAAACATTATAAGTAGAGATAAAGGTGAGTAACAGGGAAGGGGTATAAAGTGAAGCCACTTATAAATATTTGTTTTTTATAGTCTTAGAATATTGAAGTACTTCATTTTAAAAAGTATACGAAATAACATTTACATTTGCATTTCTAAAAACATGAGGCAATACCCAGATAGCATATATTGTTTGAACTATACTATAAATGATAGTCTCAACAAATTTTAGATGTAAAATTGAAGCGATTTAACAAGCAAAACATGAGTCAGATGTGTCTCATTCATCTTAAGCTTACACATGTATCACTAACTTTTTTCTATCCTCTTATGAACAAGTAATGTCCAGTGGTTTTGTTTCATTTCAAAAATACTAAATGCTATGGGATTTGATTTTTTTTTCT